TTATTTGCACACACACATGTGTATATATATATATACTTTATACACATATAAATCATCATATATATATATATATAAAATAATGTGCAAATATACATTGATATATGTATGTAATATGTATGTACTAGTACTTATGCAATCTTATGCATATGTATGTGCATTTGCACTATTTATTGTATACACTGTATACACAAATGGTATGTAGAGGGAATGCAATCTCCAGCCATTTTCACATCATCGATGCAGTGGGGCCCCACATTTGTGTGAGGGTCCCACGATGTTGGATTGTATCGAGTTGGTTATATACAGTATCCCATGAAGATTACATTCACATACCATCAATATGGGACCATCAATATCCCCATCAATATCCCCATCAATATACCATCAATATACCATCAATCTCCATCAATCACCATTAAAGGTCACAATATACCATCAATATCCTCATGAAAAAATCCTCACTGCTTGCACGTGTATATTTCAGACCTTTTTTCGACGTGGGCGGTGTGCGGCAGGGTGCACCGAACGATGAGATCTTTAGCATCATGGTGAAGAGGCATCTCCGCAGGGAGTTGTTTTTCTTTTTTTTAATGGTGATTAAATGGCGTAGCCAGCCTTTTATGACTATATAATGACTAATTTTGATGATTTTGATGGACAACATTGTGCTTTAATGGATTTAGACGCTGATTTGATGGTTATAACCCAGATGTGTCCGACCATTTTTTTAAATTACCGCCCATCTCTAGCCTGGTGATGGTTGGAACATGACGTTTCGAAACATCAAAATTTCAGGCACACCCACATGGTTTTCAGGGCTACCTGGATTTGTTGAGTCTATGTTTCGTCTATTTTCCCAGTTGGAAATCCACTGCATGGGGAATCTTTGTTGGAGATATGTATCTTTTTTTGTGGGTGTTCCTTTTCGCAAATCCCAGGCGACCTTTCAAACTTAGACATGGTCTAAATAGGTCATGATGACGCGTGATGGATTTTATCCCGGTTTCAGCTGTTCACCATTCAGAAACTGATTCAGAGGATTCTCCATGTTACACCATGTTTCACCATGCTGGTTGGCTACAAGTTACCCTCTGGTTATTTGTTACATAGCCATGGGAAAATCCCCATTTTTAAGAACGGTAAACCATCTATTTCTATGGGCCATGGCTTCCATGGCTATGTTAAATAACCAGAGGGTAAAGGGAAAAGCACCGAACGAACGACAACCTTTCCCCAGCACACCATAGCACATCTGTTGACTATTGCTGACTAGTCAGTCCAAGCAGGTCGGTCAGAAAAGTTCAGCTGGGAGGCATACTCCATGGTCAGGCAAAGCCAGGTAAGGAACATGTACGGCTTTCTGTGCCATTTCTGTGCCAACGTTGAATGGATAGTCGGATAGTCAAATACTTGAATCTTCGGTGATACATGTGGATACATACCAGCTATCAACAAAAAAGTGTTTTGGTGCAAGGTCAACAAATAGGCTTGGCGATGATGTGGCTTCAAATACCCAAGAAGAGAATTGCCAAAGGACTCTCAGATTGTAAGAGTATATATAAGCCACTGCTATAGGAAAAAAGACATCAAACAAACATATAGAGCTATTGAAAAACAGGATCTTCCCATATGTTTCCACACTTTTCCCAGCGTTTTCCACCCCGTCGTCGCACCTTTTCCCAGGCAGCTGCAGCTGCGCAAAGACCTGGTGCAACTGCGGCCAGTGGCCCTGCCGAGGCATAGATGTGTATAATGTGCCGAAACGAAACTGCCGTTATACGTGAATCCAATTCACAATCAATCAATCAATCAATGAATCAATCAATGAATCAATCAATCAATCAGTCAATCAATCAATGAATCAATCAATGAATGAATGAATGAATGAATGAATCAATCAATCAATCAATCAATCAGTCAATATATATATATATATAAATATAGATAGATACATACATATGGGCATATGATCACCCCCTGCCAGATATATATATATATATATGCCTGGTTGTTATATATATATATATATGTGTGTGTGTCTGTGAGATATAGGTATCCTAGCCAGGTGTAGCTCGCTCTCTCTTCTCTCTCTATAAATATATATACATATATACATGTATAGACATATATGTATAAGTTGCCGTTTGTGAACTTTCAAGGTGCAGCAACTTCTGACTTGCCACGTGTCAAGGGGTCAGAGACATGTCGAGGAGAGGGTGGATAAGTAAAGAGATGTAAAGAGTAAATACACCACGAATTGGGTGGATCAAAAACCCCCGGGCATAGTTCTTTTGATTGTCATCGGGTGTTGGACACGGAAAGCAAAAAGAATATCAAGATCATCGAGGCTGCTACCTTTCAATGGGACATAGTCGACATAGTGGCAATGAAGTGGCCAATTTCTGAGGATTGATCGATTTTCTTGTGACTTCTTACTGTTGCTGGGTGCCAACGTGACAGAGCCAGGGTCATTGCACGGTGCCTGCAGGTTAGATGGAAAGTCTACACCCAATCACCAGGAGATTCGGAGGGGCTCACTGCAGTGTGGAAGAAGTACCCGTACCGGATCCCCCTTGTAATCAAACAGGGCTTGCTGGAAAATCCCTCGATTATAATCTATCTATCGATCCATCGATTGATCGATCGATATCAGACATATAAATATATAAAATAATATTAGATATATAATGATATATCTATATCTATATATATATATATATAGTAAAAATAATAATGATAATGATTAATAATGAATATAATAAATGGTATATAATAATAATGATGATGAAAATAACAAAGAATGATATCAATAATCATAATATATAATAGTAATGTAAAATAATACAAATAATAGTATAAAAACAATTGTATATCTAATTTATGTCAGAATATATATCATTATATATATATATGTGTGTGTGTCATATTATACAAATATATGTGGTATTTTCTTTTACATATATATGTATATATATATATATATGTATTTTCTAATATATATATATATATATTTGTGATTTTTAATATATATATATATATACATTTGTATTAATTATTATATTTCTTTATTATATGTGCACAGATGTGATTTTCCCCAGCTACAAATGCCCATTGAATTCGTGGATTGCCTGCAGCAAGCAGGAGCAAGCTGCGCAATTAATCGCCTCGATGGTGCGCGGTCTGGGTGGAATTTCCAGTGCATCCATGTGCATCATGGATTTGCTGTTCAAAAACCAGACATTGGAAAAACAAGGGACAAAGGCCAAACAGGTTGTGGAGGTTGGCCTGCGGTGTTTAGAGCCAGGCCATGTAAAAATGATGTATCACACGTGTTTCCTGGGCAACCTTCAGCGCAAATTGGACTGGGCTTTCTTCCGCAAACATATCTGGAATTGGTTGGCCATTGGGTGCGCGTAAAGACCTGGCATAACCATCAGCATCATCACATCCCTTTGCACCAACATTTTGAATATAGGACATTTATCGACCCAAACGATGACCATGACCACAACAGCTGGATGGTTTATAATGGAAACCACAGACATAGACTTTACTTAGTTTTTTTTGTTGTTGTTGGGCGCCTGATGGATAAAGACCACCGTTTTGCCCACGAAAAATGTCCCGCAAACTTCGCAGAAGATCTGCCCACCGAGACCCAGCTTGGCACAGCCCATCCTGTGGCAATCTGATTTGGCTCAGACCGACCAGCGCCCCACGCGCCACCCGGGCGCCATGCGTCCGATGAAGCCTGGACTGCAGCCACTTGGAAGAAGGGAGGCTAAGAGGCAGCAAACATGCCCGTTTAAGCCATAGAATAATAGTGATTTTACCTTCAAAGATAGGGGGAACATGGGGAAACCAATTGATGAGGCGTAGTTTAATGCTTTACAATCAGGAAGTTAACTTGATGTAAACATCAACAATGGAAACATATAGCTCTCAACAATCATTGGGGTTTGTATACTGGAAAACAAACAACTGACGGATTATTCCAACCTACTATGACTAGCCGTGGTATGTTCGGGGGTAAACAGTTAAGTGCAAACTGGGGAAGAATGCCAGTAATGATTGGAGGATATAAACATCCAGCGTATGCATCCATTTGGCCAGCGACCTCACCATAGAGTTGTCGTTGAGATATCTGGTGCAGTTGTGTTGGTCATTTTTACTGGTATTTTTACATGTGACATATATATATATACACATGTATAGTTCTATAGTTAATTACATGTAATATAATATATATATATATAATATGCTGTGTGTGTATATGTATTTCTGGACATCCTAGCATATGCAGATGTATGTCGGTATCCATCCCGATCTTTCGTAAAAGGTTCGATGGCAATCCTGTCATCATGACTGCCGCCACTGTGCCCATGCTGTACGTATTGGTGAACCGCTATTCAATAGAGATGCTTGGTTCGCAAAATGTGGGTTTGTCTGGAAATGGGGGATATCCCCCAATGGCTTTTCAATAGTTATTCAATAGAGAACATGATCATGAAAACTAGTGAGCTTATGGGTATAGCATATTTTGAAACAAGCCCCATGTCGGTTTGTATGAAAATTGGGGCACGCCGAGTAATCCCAAATCCAGTCAGTTATCCAGACAGACGGACTGTTGCGGGAGACGGACTGCTGTCCCAGGCCAAGTGAAAGGTGCTCCACTTTGCGCGACCACTTTTTTCGCACGTAGAATGTTTGGAATGTTTGTAATAAATCACTGGTTGGTGGTTTGGAACATTTTGTATTTTTTTGGTATATTGGGAATAAATAATCCCAACTGACTAACATTTCTCAGATGGGTTGAAACCACCAACCAGTTCACCATTTGAGCGTAAATTTGAAACAAAGAGTCTGAATAAATCGCGGCTTCGTGGCATACACACAAAAAAAAGACTCACTATTGCGACCATTTGGGCCAGGGGATAGTTTTGACAAGCGATATCAAAAAGGTGATATTGGAGATGTAGCACATGAATTCGTCTCCGCATTGCATGGCGAGGACAGACTTTGGTTTTTTTGCCCTGGCTTTGGTTGGCGCCTTGTCACTGCTGGCGCTCACTTTCGGCCTGGCTCCAGCATTTTTTTGTCGAGTGGATCATCCCCTGCACTCGCTGGATCGATTTCGCTGGATTTCTGGATGTGGAAGCTGTGTGCTTCTGTTCCTGTTTCTAGGCATAAAAAAGGGGCCAAGACATCAGAGATCCCAGAAAAATCTGGGCCAAATGGGACAATTATTTTCAGGCATGGAGATGAATGACTCAGAAATTTTGGGGGTGAACAGCACTCATCTCCAAATTTGGTGATAGCTTCAAGTGTTGGCGGAAGTCGTGCAAATTATCATTTTAGGGGGCGCCACCAGGTATTTAAATACAATGCAAAATAGATCAAAATAGTACTAGTTACTAGTTGGTGTCATTGCCATTTTCTTCCCAACTCTATCCGACTTTGGTGGATCCTCAATGTCATGTCGGGGTGGGCCAATCCCACACCAGAGATTAGCAGAGTATAATGATATATATATATATAAAATTTAATATAATAGGTATATATTATATATAATTATGTATATATATATATATACATAATAATCCTCCCTTCTGATATATATAATTATGTATCTAATATATATATATATATATTTACTTTCTTATTTATTATAGCAATCCCCTCAAAAAAGATAGGACAGTTGAACACCTCGAAGTTGTGTCGTACCTAAGTCTTTTTTTAAGTTTTGGGGACCCCAAATGAAGACGCAATGAGACAGTATGTCCTGGTTGATGACTCTGAGGGATTTTACTACTAGACCACTGTACCCATCTACCCAATCTGTTTGGGATTGTAGGGACAATTGTTCACCAACATATTTGCTCACCAAATTATTTGGGTGGCATATATTACATCAACTACAAAACAAAACATGGTTGTTCATCAAATATTTGCCATTCATTAAGATTCATTACCTTTATGATCTCCTCTGTACAGCCACAACAAATCAAAGACTGACATTATGATATATGCATATATAACTATTTATATTTAGAGGGAGAGAGAGAGAGAGAGAGAGAGATATTATGATATTGTGAAAATGCCGTTTGGGCTCCCATTCGCTCCTTCCTCTGTTTTTGGGCTCCCCGGAGGTGCGCACTTTGTTCCAATGGCGCGGTTTATGTGCCTTGGACCGGGCATCGCATGGATGGCATCCGATGGCCATGGCATTGAAAATCGGGTCCTGGAAGTGCATCCCAGTTACCCTCTGGTGATTTGACATAGCCGTGGAACATCATTTCATCATTTTTTGCTTATTAAGATATCACCTTTCTTCTGGAGGTAAATCATCTATAAGTGGGCAATGTTCATCCATTCTCCAATTTTCTATATTTTTCCATAGCTATATGAAATTACCTGAGGGTAGCAGTGGCTAAGAATACATAGCTTGGTTACATGTCATATGCTAGTTGATCTAGTTGTAAGCCACATCGATGGCAAGTAGTTGCCATCACCCTGGCAGTTGGTTTTGGATCACTTCTCTGCAGCCACTTTCAGTTTTTGTTTGATTCAGACAGGTCGAATCAATGACCAGACCGCTGAGAGGATTCTCATGTTGTTTGTTTCTTTGAGGGACGTGGTATGGCGGTATGCCATTCATATTTGCAAAACAACAGACAACTGCTGTGTTGATCTCACCATGGAATTTCCTTGCAACATGTTGCAACCACCAAGGAGGCAACAAACTACCAACTGGTTCCTGTTGAACACGGGGACTCCCCTGCCATGTGCGACTACCGGAAGGCATACCACCATTTTTTCAACGTGGAACCACCAATATCTGGTCTTGTAAGATGCTTTTCTGATTTAGATACGGTGACCCTTAGTTGGGGGAGCCCAATTCGGGAGCCTTGAGGCTTACATGCAGCTGCATCCAACGCTGCACCTAAGCCTTCACGAATATTCTGAGACGCGGGTGGAGCAGGCTGGCCTGGTGAGCTTGGATGCCAAGTTAGATTTGAAACGTCCCATGGACGCAGCTGAGTTGGCTGGTTCTGGATCGGTCTGGCTTCGGGACAATAGTTTAAACGATTTTAAACGTATCATGTATCTTAGTATGTCATATCTAGTCCATTCAATGCAACTGATCTTTATAATCTTAATCTTAATCCAATCTAATGTTGAATGAATTTTAAACGATAGAATCTAATCTGGCTTGATCTAATCAAATCTGATCGAAACTACTGTAACCTAATCCAATCTCTATAATCTAAGTTTACGTCGTTTTGTTAGTTCTATTATCCACCTCTCCGCAGATACAAATGCAGGACATATACCTACACACGTATGTAACGTATATGAAATCGTTTTCCAATGATAGATACCTGATTTGGAGCAGGCACGGTTATTTACTTGCTGGGTTTGGGAGCTTAGGGCTGTCGGTGGTCAGTTTTTTTTTGTGTCCATTTGATCATCTGGTCTGGGTGGTTGGGTGACTCTACATACTGTATTATCCAAGCATAAATCGATCGCCAAGAAGCACTGATATAATTAGCACACAGTTTTTCTCATGAATCGAACTACCAGTAGCATCCGCATCACTTGCAAGTATGCATGCATAAGATTTGGGAATGATCAACCATGATGAACCATGATTAACTCTGATGAACCATATTTTCCATCGATTTTCCACAAGAATTTCACCAAAAACTTATCTCCGATATGGTTTGCCGTTCCGTGCTCCCTAGTATCTGCGGAATGGGTGCTTCTGCCCACTGCAGCGATTGCACCGCCAGTGCCCAGCTTGCACTTAAGAAGTGGCAAGTTGGTCAAGTTCGAGAGGCCCTTGGGAGATACAGATTTGAAGGGAAAATATGTTGGGAATTTAGTGATGATTATCTAATAGGATTATGATCTTCTTATTGCTTTTTTGGTTGGTAGTATTTGAACAGATTTTTGGAGTACCCTCTGGTAGTTACAGCATCATCATTCTCAACATTATCATCTTCCTCCTCCTTGACCTCATGATCCTCGACATCATCAACCTCCACCTCATCTTCTGCAGCATCAACATTCATAATTTTCCTGTTCATCATGTTTCTCCACATTATACTCACCAACATCATCATCATCATCACCATCATCATCATCATCACCATCATCATCATCATCATCATACATCATACATCATCATCATCATCATCATCATCATCATCCTAAACATAATCATCCTCAACATCCTCCTCCCCCCCCTCCTCCTCCTCCTCGTCCTCCTCCTCCTCCTGCGCCTCATCATCCTCAACATCATCATCCTCAACATCACCGTCCGCAACATTATCATCCTCATCCACATCCTCATCATCATCGTCATCGTCATCGTCATCGTCATCATCTTCATCATCATCATCATCATCATCATCATCCCACTCCCCACACTGTTTGGGGTCTCTTGCCGGGATAATGCTTGGTATTATTTGAATAGGTTTTTGGCCTACTGAAAATGTCTTCATTTTGTTCGATGATTTTCCCAGCTCGAACCTCCATTGATAGGGGAATATAGGGGATTTCCAATGGCCATGTTTGATGACACCGGAGGGTGCGTACCATGCAGACTTGAAGGAATCCATATACGAGTTTGAGCCTTTCACAGACTTTGGTATGTGCCACCATTCTTGTCAGAGTTGTCAGTCATTCTAGTGGTTACTTCCTTTTTTGTGAAACAGATGGCTTCCTTTCACCATGTCCCACCAAACTCTGGACGAGTCAGAGCCTATGAGATCTGAGGTCAGTGTGCGCGGAAGGACTGCCGAATTGAATTGGGTTACCTGCTCTTTTCAAAGGATTCCCTGCTACGCACCTGGGCGCTATTGAGCGTGCAACATCACGATGCCACGGATGTCATTGTAAGCAAGACTTTAGATTTCCACCCGAAAACATATTTGAAATTTGAAACCCCAAATCGCCCAAATTCCCCAAAAGTATGTTTTTGGTCAACAACTGCTGACACCAAGGGAGATTGGCATGGTTTTGAGTTTGCAAGATGGGTCTTGTGGACTTTTGTGGGGATTTTGAGGTGACATGCAGTTTTGACGAGACTGGACATGTTGGGTAGAAGTGTTGTTTGTTGATAGCAGGGTCCCACACCTTTTCATTTGCTTCCCTGGTTGTTTTGGCCCCCTGTCGAATCAAGTACAGTAATTTCACAGCTTGGCTTTCACAGCTTGACTCTGCAGGGTGGCAACACATTGATATCATCTCACATGTTGTTTTTCCCCCTAGCAGCCTAGCACTAGAGCAAACCCTAAAGGGTCATACAGACGACCCTCCCTTTGGCAGCTAGATTCTACTAGATGTTTGATTGGCACATCGCAGGTGTCGACGACATCGATGGGCACGATGTCGCGGCCGCCGAAGAGGATGAAAGGAACTACGAGAACCGCAGAAAACTGAGCGAAACACCGGCCACAGGCAAAGCATTGCTGGATTCCAGCGACAATCGATGCGTGTTGGAGATGGAGAGGGCTATATACATTGTTTGCCATATTTGTCAGTTTCGAACTGTGAATACATGTGAATACCAGTATCCATGATGCTAAGTAAAAAGGAAGCCACTCCCCAAAATGGCTTCTTTTGTTCTGTGAATTCTCAGAAACAGCCAATCGGATGGATTCAGACCGGGGTTCCCTATCCCATGCCGAAACGGCACAGATCTACATGAATTTCTTTGAGCAAGACTTAGAGAAGACTTGTGTTGCCTATAGACATCCCACGATTATCTCTTTATCTCCCATATATATATATATATGTATATATATACATGCCAAAATCATGCCATGCATATTTTCCAGTAATTAAATATATATAACAAGTCCAATCTCCATAGCATGACCAATCATCGAGAGAGATTACCAATCATCTATCCCATCGCTGAGTCAACCTTTGTTAGATACAGTATTTTAATGTATTTTAGTACTTCAATATCCGTTGTTATCAATGGTAGAATGTACTAACCAGCAACAAAAAGGTTGTTTGGCAGGTACCTAAGTTTCAACATGATCAAAAGACACCAACAAAAATCAGATCTTGCCATCTTGCCCTGACGATGATCACCTATCATTGATAATCATAATGATGAACAATACATATATATGTATATAGATATTCTAGATGGTAACCATCATTATTATATATCTTATATATTTAAAGTACTAGTATATAATACTTACATATACTTACCAGAATATCATTTCTATATATAGCTCTACCACTTACACTAAATGACTGTATCTCTCCATTGGCCCCATCTTCCCCGGCACAAGGGGCCGTCAATGAGACCAACTCGACCTTTGGCGGGCGCCTCTCGGGGGCAGGTGGAGGTGGGCGGTTCAGGAAGAATGATTGGATCATGGAGTATAAACGGGATAGAATTGGGATTCATATTTCCCCACCTGCCAGGTGAGGGTTGTTAGAGGTTTTTTCAGTGTTGTTCTTCTCCTCCTTCTTCTTCTCCTCCTCCTCCTCCACCACCTCTGCCTCCACTTCCATGTCCACTTCCGCCTTGCCAACTCTTCGCCAAGCTCTTCGCCAACTTCCGCACGCAGTGGGCACTGCTGGACCTCAACTGCAAGGGTCTGAGCGCACTGGGCACCGCTGGACCTCAACCTGGGACCTTCCGAGCTCAGTGAGCACCGCTGGACCTCAACATGGGACCCGCCGAGCTCAGTGAGCACCGCTGGACCTCAACCTGGGACCCGCCGAGCTCAGTGAGCACCGCTGGACCTCAACCTGGGACCTTCCGAGCTCAGTGAGCACCGCTGGACCTCAACGGCCAGATAGAATGCCACAAGATATGCCAGATAGGATCAGATAGAACGCCAGATAGCATGTCAGATAGACTGCCAGAAGATGTGCCAGATAAAATGCCAGAAGATATGCCAGATAGAATGCCAGAAGATAAGCCAGATAGAATGCCAGATGGTATTCCAGATAAAGTGCCAGAATGTTTGCCAGATAAAATGCCAGAAGATTTGCCAGATAGAATGCCAGATAGGATGTCAGAAGATATGCCAGAAGATATGCCAGATAGAATGCCAGATAGAATGCCAGAAAATATGCCAGAACATATGCCAGATAGAATGCCAGAAGGTATGCCAGATAGAATGTCAGATAGAATGCCAGAAGGTATGCCAGATGGAATGCCAGATAGGATGTCAGAAGATATGCCAGAAGATATGCCAGGTAGAATGCCAGAAGATATGCCAGATAGAATGCCAGAAGATATGTCAGATAGAATGCCAGAAGATCTGCCAGTAACACATCACGAAGCAAAGAATTGTTCAAACAACAATATATATATATATATGTGATATATATATATATATGATATATGATATATATATATATGATATATTATATATGTATATATGTGATCTTATATTCATTCATGCATTCATGCATTTATTTATGGTTTAGTTGACATCGGGATGTTCAAGGTGATGCCCCCCAAAGCAGTTGTGTTTTTCGGTTCGCTACCAATCTATTTTATCTATTTTAATGTGTTACAGTATCATGCTTAACCATAGCTAAGCGTCTTAGCTGAGGGACTGGGGTACCACCTTGTATAGCTGACAACAGATGCGACAATTCTTGGATATGTCTGGGATATTGATATGTAATTTAATAGTGGGATTTTAAACTTAGTCAAAATAATGGGATAAACAGGTAGAATCCAGCAAACATGGGCAAGTGGAGATATAAAGCCAACAGTAATGAGGATATATTGGGCTAACTATGAAATAATAGTGGGATATGAATCGTTAGTTGTGTATGGGATAGCTACGATCTACCATCCCCGAGTGTGGTTAATGAAGTTGGATATGCCCCTATTTGAATTGGGATGATGCAAAATTACTGTGTTCTTAAACTTGGTCATGTACCACTCATAACTCATAACCCGTATATATTGTTGGTGAGTAATTATATTGAAGGCCGGAGGCCATCTAAGGCAGCGTTTTTTTTGTAATTATTATCCCCGCGACATGATGGGAGCTGGAACATGTTTTCTTTTAGATTTGGATTATCAACCCTCTCACTCTATCATTCTATATATATATAATATTCATATTAATAATATATATATATATATGATTATATATGTAGGAGAGAGGGAAAGAGAAACTCCATAAACATGTTTTGAGATTGTCCCGTGCAAGATTGATTCTGACCAGTTGCTAAGCGCGATGATCCTCCTCATTTGTGTGTAGTTTTTTTTGGGCTAGTTCTTTTTCCCCGGTCAACATTCCAACAAATTTAACAAAGTTTTGATCCTATGGTTGGTGGTTTGCAATGGCAAGTTGTTCTAGTTCCTCTTTTCTTTGGTATGTTATTTTCGTATGATAATGTTTTTTGTTGGTAGGAGTCACCCGTAGTCATTGCCAGTGTATCCCGCCAGCAATTCGGAGTTCCAACCTGCGATTTGCATAGGGGTATGATACCCCCAACGAGATGGTTTACGTGGTGGCGTTCCCTACCACTGTTTCCGCATGCCAAGGCCAATGTCCTCCATGTTCCGTGAAGATCTGTGAATGTTCATCCATGTCCATCCATTTCCTTATACATTCTTATGCTCGTACTTGAACATCATATTATCCCCAGTAAGGTCAACTATCTCCCATTACATTGGCAGCCGCCATCGGTTCAGGCGGCGGAGGCGGCGGCGGCGGGGGAGGCGGCAGCAAGAAACACTGCTCCATCACTTGCGTCTACGCGGCGCCCTTGGTGCCCGAAGATGCGGAGCTAGGCTTGGATCAAAGGGATGTCATGGTAAAATTGGTAAATCTGCATGGTGATTTTTGTTGGTAATAGATTTCCAGCATATCTTCCACATGGTCACATGTAATTTGGGATTCAAATATTGAAGCCCTTTTGTAGCTTCAAATCCAATTGGGGAAGGGACCCCATGCCATAAAGCTGCGAAAAGGATTGCAGCATCGGCGTTTGAGGAGGTGCAGCTTGGTGGGACGTGCTTGGGGGCTTCCTGCGACACGCAGGTTATGAGCCCAACGCCGTCCAAGGACCAACCCATGGAAATGCAGAGGAGAAGAGCTAAGGCGAAAGACAACGATGGCACTAAGGCCAGCGAAGCCAAGAGCCAAAGCGATGGAAAGGAGTCTCTCCAGTTGGTGCCGGTGACACCTAATGGGGGTGAAGTTGTAGGGAATGGGGATAGCCAGGGTTCAGGGGATGCCAAGAAAGAGGATAGCGTAGCCATACAACAATATGTTACTCCTCAGCACCCACAGGGGCCACCAGTTGAATATGGTCCCAAGAATCTGGAACCTCTTTTCAGTGAGCAACAGCTGCAGGAAGTTCAGGACCTGCGGGCTAAGGCTCCCATGCTTGATCCACCTTCGCTCTGCTCAGGGGTGGAGGTTGCAATCACACCAGCCATGCGTCCAGCAGTCAACCAAGGACCTAGTTCACCAGGGGTTCCAATGGCGGCAGGGTGTGGGGTGGGATTTGCCACAGGGATGGATCCTAGGATCATAGAAGAAGAACGAATGCGGTTGAGGTTCATCTTAGATCATGAGCGGGGTATGATGCAGAATCTCATGAGGCAGGTTCAAGAAGAGAACATGCGTCTCAGAGTGCAGCTGATGGAGGAACGTGAAGGGAAGTACTCCACACCACCTGACAAGCCGATCGAGGAGAACCAAAGGCCAAAGGAATTTGCAAGCCACAGAAGGTCAGAGAGACAGGGTGGCAAAAAGGAGGATGAGGGCCAAGGATCCAGGAAGGATGAGGGCCAAGGATCCAGGAAGGATGAGGGCCAAGGATCAAGAAAGGAAGAAGGACACCAGCCTCAGGAGGGTGTCCACCAGCAGAACTGGCATGGTCAGCAAGGTGAGACAGCTGATCAGGCCAACGGATCTGAGGAGAGTTCCGAAGATCAGAAGTCTGAGGAGGAGTTTTCAGAGGAGTCTGAAGCTGAGGATGAAGAGAAGAGGCATCAAGGCGGTTCTGCTGAGAGTGGCGGAGACAAGACCGTAGAAGTGATGCTGAAGCTGATGCAAGGAATGCAAAAGATGCAGAAGCAACTGATGTCCCAGCAGTCCAGGAAGGCCAAGAAGGGCCGAGATGAAGACTACAGGGAGGACGAACACATCAGGGCCAATGTCGAAATCCATAAGCTGCCAGAATGGAACATTGACAGTGCCCCAGTTGACTTCCAAGACTGGATGATGGTCATCCACCCTCAGCTATGCGACATGTCTGAATCCTCAGCTGAGTGGTGGACTCAGATGACGGCTGCTGCCAGAGATTGGTACCAGTGCCACCAATCAATGAAGCCTTTGGAGAAGCTGCAGCATGAAGTGAAGATGCCGCAGGAACTCCTGAAGAAGAAGTGGGCCAGACTGGAGAAGAGGGTGAGCAACATGCTACTCCAGTCCATCCCCGAGTCACAGAAGGAAGAGGTGATCTCCACCAAGAACCTCTCAGTTCTGGGGATTCTCACAAGGCTGATGACTAACTACCAACCTGGGGGCTCTCACGAGAAAGCTGCTGTGTTGGCAGCCCTGGAGTCACCGCCTGAAGCCACCACTGTGGGAGAAGCCATATCTGGCCTGCGACGTTGGATGAGGTGGAAGAGACGAGCCACAGACATCAGTGTCAGCATGCCAGATCCTACAGTCATGTTACGAGGATTGGACCGCTTGGTCAACAAAGTCCTTGCCAGCCATCACAGCCTCCAATTCCGAGTGAACCTCACTCGAACTCACCTCATGGTCGATGCTGTTCCAACTATGAAGGGCATTGAACAGCTGGCCGAATGTCTCTTGGCCGAGTTCGACCAACTCTCATACTCCAAGCGCAAGCAAGAAAAGATTGTGCCAAAGATGAAGAAGTTGGAAGAATCCAAAGAGAAGGGTGGGAGAGAAGGGGGTTCAAAGAAAGGGGAGGAGAAGCCCGCTCCTTGCCGCTTCTTTCACACAGAACAGGGGTGCCGGCGGGGGAAGTCATGCAAGTGGAGTCACGAGGTCAAGGATGACCAGAAGAGATGTTGGACTTGCGGAGCCACAACACACATGAGCCCACAATGTCCAACAAAGGACAACCAGCAAGCAAGCAACAAGAAGGTAGCCAAGGTAGAGTGTGCGAAGACAACAAAGAAAGCAGAAGAGGAGGATGCTGGCTCAGAGAAGGCAGCGGTGTGTCCGAGCGAGGACATGAAGACGCTGCTGGAAGAAGCCGGAAAGATGCTGAAGGGAATGTCCAATGGAGGATCCCCCCGAAGCCATGAAGACCCAGGTGAAGCGAGGATCAGGAGCTTACAGAGACAGCTCGATGAACTCAAAGGGCAGGGAGCAGTGAGAGTGCTGCGTCTGTCCCGCATCCAGGTCGCAGAGGGCGGTCTAGGATTGCTTGACTCGGGTGCCACCCATGCACTCCGTCCACAAAGACCAGGGGAGGATTTGGGGAAGTACACTGAGGTCAAGATCACCCTAGCAGGGGGCCAAGGGACAAAGATGAGGATGTCTCCTGGCGGAGTTCTGGTGTCTCCAGATCCGAAGACGGAACCCATTCTTCCTCTGGGAAACCTGGTGTCTGACCTGGGCTGTAGCATTCAGTGGACCGGTGAGTGCCTCACGATTCATCACCCACAAAGAGGTCAGATTCCAGCCAGACTGCAAGGAGGTTGCCCCATGGTCGACAAGGCCACGGCACTGAAGCTGATTGCCGAGTTAGAAAAGATGGGGGAGAAGAAGAAGTTGAGGAGCATGCAAGGGGAAGAAGAAGCCCTGATGCAATGGATGAGAAGGGTGGTTGATGACCATCCGGCATTCCAGGGAGTCCCACAACATCTTAAGGACAAGATGGTGGTAAGCCCACAAAGCTCAGCCATAGCAGGCAACCGCAAGCTCAGGAAGCTCTGGAAGCGGGAGGGAGGTGTGGTTCTTTTCCTCTACTCCGGAAGAAGCGAGGGCTTCCACATGAAGAGGGCAGCTAAAGACTGGGCTTTGATGTCAGGAAGCTGATTGAGGTTGACATCCAGAATGGCTCACAGTGGGATATGGTCTCTGGTGAGCTCTATGCCGAGTTGGTGATGATGGCATGTGACGGCCAAATTGGTGCCGTGGTGGCCTCTCCAAACTGCCGCACTCGATCCCGGCTCAGACATGTTGAAGTTCCGTCTTTGCCGGCTCCAGCCAGGGCTTGGGAAGGAGGAGAATGGGGCAAGGAAGGCATTAGCAGCAATGAGGCAGTCAAGTGCTATGAGGATGATGTCATGATGCTCAGGGCTATGATGTTATACACCATAGCAGAAGAGATGAGGAAAGCCAAAGGAGAAAGCAGGCCAACGTCGTTCCTGTTGGAACACCCAAGTCCACCGAAGGACATTCCAGCAGTAGTGTCCTGGTGGCGCACTCCCCAATGGAAGGCCCTAAAAGAAGCTTATGGGCTGGAAGAAGTGGATGTAGACCAGGGGGAGATTGGAGGAAAAGGGAAGAAGGCCACAAGGTTGGGAGGAAATGTTGACGTTCAACTCCCCCCTCGATGTCCCATGAAGCCAGAGGGGCGAAAGATCGAGGGAAAGACCCCGCATCAGTTGGTGGAAGAGTCAAGGCAGCTCTCGAGGTGGGCTCCCTTACTGATGACGGCCATCACCGAGGCGGTGTTCAAAGAACGAGGCCAAGTCCCCAAGCCCCGACTCCGGTCCTGGAGAACACACATTCTTCAGGGACACACCCCCTTCCGGAAGGATTGTGCAGTGTGCCAGCAGGCATCCGGAAGAGACAAAGCACACAGGCGAGAGAAGCTCCCACCACGATCTGGAGTCCTCTCATTGGACACGGCAGGTCCATTGATGAAAGCCCCGGATCTTGGAAGAGGAACGGCCAAGTTCATGTTGGTCGCCAGCTTTACATGGCCGTCAGCATCAACAGAAGAAGATGCGACAGAAGAGAACGAGGAAGACCTCAAAGAATGTCCCCAGATTGATGATCTGGCCGAGATAGAGAGAGAGAAAGAAATAAAAGAAGACGGCAAGCCGAGAAGAGGACGTCCTAGAATTGAAGACGTCGAAGCCAGAGAAAGAGAGAGAAGAACGGCAGAAGAAGAGAAGACCCGTCAAGAAGGGGATCTGAAAGCACCATCCATCGGAGAGGAGGAGGATTTGGAGGCCTATCGACAGACCAAGGCTGGTCAGCATGAGGAGGAGGAGGAGTATGATTCTCCATCCTTGGGAGAAGAGCAGGGCCAAGAAGGACAGGAAGAGGAGACGGAAAATGAAAGGGAGGAAGTGCACATGGCTGTGCACAGGATGGCCATACCAATGGCGTCAAGGGCATCGGAGGAGGTCTTGAGACACATCATTGACCTTTACTTGATGTTAAAGGCCGATGGGTATGAGGTGCGACAGATCCATTCAGACAGAGCGGCAGAGTTCATATCACCGAGACTTGAACGGTGGTGCCGCGAAAGAGATATCCTGCAGACCTGGTCGGCAGGAGCCGAGCCTCAATCAAACGGCAGAGCAGAGAGAACAGTGCAGGAGATCAAATCAAGAGTAAGAAGACTCTTACATGCCGCCAGAGTTGGCCCAGAATGGTGGCCAGTTGCGCTAAGAAATGTCAATGAGCGCCTGAGAAGAGAAAGAATGAAGGTGAACTGGAATGGCCAGAAGTTTGAGGAGATTCCGGCCTTCATGCAAGAAGTCACCGTAAAGAAGAGGTTTTGGCGCACGAAGGAGCTGGAACCGGGGCGAGAGGTGGTGAGATATCTGTCTCCTACGTGGCTGCACCATGGCCACTGGGTCCTTAGAGAAGATGGGACCAAGATGCTGACCCGAGCCGTGTTCAAGAAAGGCACGGAGCCAGTGGATGACCAAGTATGGGTCGCACTGGAGGATGCACTGACCCCAGTCGATTTGAGGAGACGACTTCGGGGCAAAGTGCTGGTCAGAAGGGTAGAGGGAAGTCAAGAAGAAGACAAGCCTCGAAACCCGGATCAAGGAGCCATCGCCAAGGAGAAACACCTAGAGCGGATCATCCAAGAAGAGATGACGTATGTGGTGCATGATGAGATGGAGGTTGCTCAACAGGTGTTGGATGCCACCAAAGCCCTTAGAGGGTTCAAGACCACTGAAGAAGAAGAGATCCTGCAGACCAAGATTGTCAGCCCACAAGATGTGAAGAGAAATGCAGATGCCTGGAAAGAGGCGATAGAAGCGGAGCTTAAGTCCCTGATGGAAACAAAGAGGGCACTCCGAGTCGTCCCCCCTGAAGAGGCCAGACAGATGACTCAGGATCAAGGCCTGTTGGCAGTCCCGGCCAAGGTGGTGTTTACCATCAAACCGGACGCCGCAAATCCCCGAGGAAAGAAGAAGTGCCGTATAGTGGCCTGTGGGAACTATGCCCCAGATGCAGAAATGGACTGCTTCGCAGCAGGAACAGATGCAGCCACACTGAGGCTAGCATTGGCCATGGCATCAAAGAAGGCGTGGTATGGGGCCAACTTGGATGTTAAGACGGCCTTTCTAAATGCTCCTATGACCAGGCCCCAGAGAGATTCAGAGGAGGAGGAAGGATTGAGTAAGATCCTCTTACGACCTCCACCAATTTTGGTGTCTCTGGGCCATGTAACCAAGGATCAGTTCTGGGAAGTCCTCAAAGCGATGTATGGATTCCACCAGAGCCCACGACTATGGAGCGATTATCGAGATGATTCGATGAGGAAAATGAAGACCTCAAAGCTACATCTGGTTCAAATGGAGACAGAGCCAAGCGCCTGGCTGATGAAGTCCCAGGAAGATGATGAGACACATGGCATCATTCTCACTTACGTTGATGATGTCTTGATACTGTCCACCAAGGAGGTTGTGGAAGAATGGGTGGACCTCATCAGAAGGACATGGGAAACCTCATCTCCAGAATGGGTTAATCCCGATGAGCCAACCAGGTTTTTGGGGATGGAGCTCAAGAGGTCAGAAGAAGGAATCTGGACGGCATCCCAGAAGAACTACACGTTGGAAGTTCTGAGGAAGAACCTCAAGAAGACACCATGGCCCAGAAAGAAGATACCAATCTCCAAAGAAGGAGCAGAGAGTGAAGAAGAAGATCAGAAGAAAGAAGAAGATGAAGATGTTGGCCCTATGACCCCCGCAGAGGTTAAGGAAGCCCAGAAAGTGGTTGGCGAACTAATCTGGTTGGTGACCAGATGCCGACCAGATTTGATGTATGTCACCACGAAGATGGCATCTTGGTCCACCAGAAACCCAAGGAAGGTACTTGACATGGCTGGTCAAGTGTGGGGTTATCTGGCTGGAACTGTGAACTCCACCCTTCAGCTCAAGGGACCGCTGGACTCCAATGACATGGAGGTTCACACAGATGCATCTTATGGAGATGACGCTCATGGGTGTGTGGTGGTGAAGTGGGGGGAGGCAGCCATTCTATGGCGCAGCGCCAAGCAGACGCTACAGACAACATCTACAGCCGAGGCAGAGTTAGTGGAGATCATGGAGGGTGCCACTATGGCTGACTCAGTTCGAGTTGTTGTAGAAGAACTGGTTGGAGAACGAGTTAGGTGTTGGCAGTTTACAGACTCAGCATCAGCCCTGTCAATTGTCTCAGGGGATTCAGCGTCATGGAGGACGAGGCACCTGAGGAAGAGGGCTAGATTTCTGAGGTGGAGAGCCCTTAGAGGAGACGTGGTGATGAGACATCAACCGGGAAGTGAGATGGTGGCAGATATCGGAACGAAAGCGCTGGCATCAGTTCGTCTGAAGGAACTGAAAGGAAGACTCGGCCTGATTGAAGAAGAAGTGGAAGAGGCAGGTGATCTTCAAGAAGCCAAGAAGGGCGCCGAGAACTGCCATATGGAAAAGTCCCAGTTGATGGATCAAGCCCAAGCGGAAAGGCTAGTGAAGGTGTTGATGGTAATGGCTCTAGTTCAAAGAGCTAAGGGAGCGGAAGAAGAGGAAGAGGATCATCGGGCACTAGAATGTGCCATGCTCCTATATACCATCGTAGTGGTGGTGGCCACGGTTGTCAGCCAGGCCTTATGGAAGTGGTGGGGTCGAGGTCACCACCCTTCCAACGCACAAGCAGACAGCTCCGCAACCACAGAGGAAATGGAGGAAGAAGCTCTGCTTCCAGCACTGCAAAGAAGAGCCTCACAAGCAGCACACCTAGCCAGCATTGTAGGCAGCACCACTTCCGGGGGAGTTACAGGCCACAGGGCCGGCACCAATGAACCCAGCACCGTTAGCTCTGCTACCAGCCAGATACCAGCACCTGCCCAGAGAGGATGCAGCAGAAACACCGACAGAACACCTGAGGTCACAACTTCTGGCCAAGCAACACCCAGTGAGGAGCCGCAGGCCAGCCAACAGAAGAACTCAGGAGCCAGTAGACACCAGCAGGTGTCAACATCAGACACAGCCAGTGCTGATAAGAAAATCAGCAGTCAGAGCCCAGGTGAAACATCATCTGGAAATATCACAATGACCCCAGCAGGGTCCACAAGCACCGTTAGCATAGCAGCTAAACCACCAACAAGCACCAACAAGCACCAACAAGCGACAGATGTCACATCAATCCAGCACTACAAGCCAGCTTCGATCCAACTGCCAGGGAGGCCACTCGAATGTCCCTTCCAGTTCAGGAAGCCAGGGCACTCCAGCTCAACCAATTCCAGGTGGGTGGGTTGAAAGGGGGGAATATGAGATATATACAACAGGCTCTGGAGCGAAGTATCACCTGAATAAGAATTGTTATGGACTGCGAAACTCCCAGAGAGTCAATCGAGTGGACAAGTGTCCTGAATGTTTTGGATCAAACTGGAAACCATCTGGCGAAGAGATGCATGCTCAACATACCTGGGGAGATATCCATCGACATGTGAATCACGCCCGGGAACACTACCGCATGACGGTGAATCAGACGTGCACGGTGTATAAAGCATGTAAGATCTGCGCCAAAGGTGCTTAAGCTGGTTTTTCAATAGGAGTGACTGTCAGTGAGATGAGGGTACTGATATGTCATATCTAGAAAGGGCTTGAGCTGAAAGAAATCAGTGAAGATCACTCGCGCGGGAATTTGAGTACCCGAGTGACGAATTTTGCGAAGTGGTTTCTACCTCACGGAAAGAAACCAGGGGGAGTGTTGGTAATAGATTTCCAGCATATCTTCCACATGGTCACATGTAATTTGGGATTCAAATATTGAAGCCCTTTTGTAGCCTCAAATCCAATTGGGGAAGGGACCCCATGCCATAAAGCTGCGAAAAGGATTGCAGCATCGGCGTTTGAGGAGGTGCAGCTTGGTGGGACGTGCTTGGGGGCTTCCTGCGACACGCAATTTTCACGGATTTTTATGGGACAAATACGGAAAATATGACACATATAGAAAACAATGGGGAAAATGGGGTTTGATGGGGTAAAGCACCGATGTGTGGGAATATATGGTATGACCAGCGCCAACAATTCGAGATGGATGCTCAGCTTCCATTGGGGACCCCCCAGTCCTGGGGGAAGTGAACACGTCCCAAGACCACTTGATTTCAGTTTGGTGGGTTAGACCGTGAAACCTGTGACAGCTGTCAGAAATGCCTGCTTTTCAGATTGTTGCCACGTGGAATTGCAGTATATATGATTATATATATAATATATATATATACATATTTGTTCTATCTATCTGGTATGTTTGAAGATGTTGATTATTAATTTGTGTCACAAGATGAGCTTCTGATGGATCTTTCAAGCCTTTTAGGAAGATGTCCTCCAAGTCACTAACGCCAAACATGTCTTAGTGTTGTTTTGAATTTTGCATCGCATTGCCAACGCATTCCATTACATTCAACAACCTTCGGTCAACAAACATTGCTAAATTTCCATGTCCTTTTCAGGTGCTGCTCCCATCGCTTGGGCCGTGAGTAGCTCGAGTCCACCGAGTGCCACCAGCGGCACCAAGCACTTCCACTGGTGGACGGGGGAGCGGCAGGACTACCAACGGGCCATGGATGAAGCAGCGCCTTGGTGAAGGTCGCGTAGGTCGCGGTTCGGAGAGACTTCGGGAGGGGATATAGATCTAGACATAGACGATATAGATGAGGGACGTGACATGGATGGTAATTGAGAGGGTGTAATAGTGTGTAAATATGTTATATCTACAAATAATATATCATTAATGTTGTCGACTGATTAGTGTGAGGGGCCCCCCCCCTAAAACAATTTTAGTCTACTCAATAACAGACCATTTTTTTGCGCCCCCCCACCTTCAACATTTTTTTTGAATTGATTTCAATTTACTTTCAATTGAAATCAATTTACTTTAAATTGATTTCAATTTACTTTTAATTAATTAATTAATTTCAATTTACTTTCAATTTACTTTCAATTGATTTCAATTGATTTCAATTTACTTTCAAATTACTTTCAATTGATTTCAATTGATTTCAATTTACTTTCAATTGATTTCAATTTACTTTCAATTAATTAATTAATTTCAATTTACTTTCAATTTACTTTCAATTGATTTCAATTTACTTTCAATTTACTTTCAATTTACTTTCAATTGATTGCAATTTACTTTCAATTTACTTTCAATTGATTTCAATGTACTTTCAAGGGTTTTTGTTTTTTTCAACCCCCAAAGTTGTTGGGCACTATAGAGTACCATCCAAACATTCATATTATTGAGTAACTCAGCCACTCATGGGGTACCACCTTGAAAAATTGTCTGGATGCTGTCTTCTAATAAGGGTTTAATAAGGCATCTAATTATTTGGAAAACCTTGCATTTTAAAAGCTTTAACACAAATATCTATTTCTAAAACAAATGGACCAGCTTTACTCAAGGAAAGGTGGAGAAAGGGTTTTTGTTTTTTTTTCAACCCCAAAAGTTGTTGGGCACAATAGAGTACCATCCAAACATTCATATTATTGAGTAACTCAGCCACTCATGGGGTACCACCTTGAAAAATTGTCTGGGTGCTGTTTTTTAATAAGGGTTTAATAAGGCACCTAATTATTTGGAAAACCTTGCATTTTAAAGCTTTATCACAAATATTGCTTTCTAAAACAAATGGACCAGCTTTACTCAAGGAAAGGTGGAGAAAGGGTTTTTGTTTTTTTTTCAACCCCAAAAGTTGTTGGGCACAATAGAGTACCATCCAAACATTCATATTATTGAGTAACTCAGCCATTCATGGTTTTTTCAGACATCTAATTATTTGGAACAGGTTGGATCTTCAAGCTTTAACACAATTATGGCTTTCTAAAGTAAATGGACCAGCTTTACTCAAAGAAAGGTGGAGAAATGGTTTTGGATTTTTTTCAACCCCAAAAGTTGTTGGGCACAATAGAGTACCATCCAAACATTCATATTATTGAGTAACTCAGCCACTCATGGGGTACCACCTTGAAAAATTGTCTGGATGCTGTTTTTTAATAAGGGTTTAATAAGGCATCTAATTATTTCGAAAACCTTGCATTTTAAAGCTTTAATACAAATATGTTTTCCTAAAGTAAATGGACCAGCTTTACTCAAAGAAAGGTGGAGAAAGGGTTTTTGTTTTTTTTTCAACCCCAAAAGTTGTTGGGCACAATAGAGTACCATCCAAACATTCATATTATTGAGTAACTCAGCCACTCATGGGGTACCACCTTGAAAAATTGTCTGGATGCTGTTTTTTAATAAGGGTTTAATAAGGCATCTAATTATTTGGAAAACCTTGCATTTTAAAGCTTTATCACAAATAATTACTGCTTTCTAAAGTAAATGGACCAGCTTTACTCAAAGAAAGGTGGAGAAAGGGTTTTTGTTTTTTTTCAACACCAAAAATTGTTGGGCACAATAGAGTACCATCCAAACATTCATATTATTGAGTAACTCAGCCATTCATGGTTTTTTCAGACATCTAATTATTTGGAACAGGTTGGATCTTCAAGCTTTAACACAATTATGGCTTTCTAAAGTAAATGGACCAGCTTTCCTCAAAGAAAGGTGGAGAAATGGTTTTGGATTTTTTTCAACCCCAAAAGTTGTTGGGCACAATAGAGTACCATCCAAACATTCATATTATTGAGTAACTCAGCCACTCATGGGGTACCACCTTGAAAAATTGTCTGGGTGCTGTTTTTTAATAAGGGTTTAATAAGGCATCTAATTATTTGGAAAACCTTGCATTTTAAAGCTTTATCACAAATATGGTTTCCTAAAGTAAATGGACCAGCTTTACTCAAAGAAAGGTGGAGAAAGGGTTTTTGTTTTTTTTCAACCCCAAAAGTTGTTGGGCACAATAGAGTACCATCCAAACATTCATATTATTGAGTAACTCAGCCATTCATGGTTTTTTCAGACATCTAATTCTTTGGAAAAGGTTGGATCTTCAAGCTTTAACACAAATATGGTTTCCTAAAGTAAATGGACCAGCTTTACTCAAAGAAAGGTGGAGAAATGGTTTTAGATTTTTTTCAACCCCAAAAGTTGTTGGGCACAATAGAGTACCATCCAAACATTCATATTATTGAGTAACTCAGCCACTCATGGGGTACCACCTTGAAAAATTGTCTGGATGCTGTTTTTTAATAAGGGTTTAATAAGGCATCTAATTATTTGGAAAACCTTGCATTTTAAAGCTTTAATATAAAAAAAATGAAAAACATAAAAACATTTTTTAAGTAATTAACTAATTTAAAAATAAATTCAAAAAATAATTAATTAATTAGGAACATTTAAAAAAAAAATCTGGAAAAACATTTGCCACAATACAGGCCCCCCCCACCAAACAGCAGGTTACTGAATAAGGAGGAAACTTTTTGCCACAATAGAGTACCATGCTACTAATCAGGTGCCAACATTATACATATTATACATGTAATTAAAATGAACACATGGGCCTACAAGCCTGCAATTGGCAACAGCCTAATGGATTGACGAAGACATCGCCATCGGCAGTGGTTGGCAATGGAAATCTATCCGAAAAGGCTATCAAAATCCTATAAAATGCTTGTGGTTCTAAGATGTTCTAACCAATTCTTCTATTTTATGTCCTCAAATTTGGCATAGAATTTCAACCTGAGCCCAAATGGTGGGCTTCAATAGCTCTTCGCTCACCGACCGTCAAACCGGATGGTCGTTAGTTCTATCCCCATGTTTGCTGCTCCGGTCAGGTTGCTCATCAGCTACCTGAGAGGTTGAAGGTGCCAAGAAAAAAGGGTGTGATTGGAGAGTGAAATGGGGCATGCAACCAACACATGTTTTTTTTTGGGGGGGGGGGAGTCTGATGGAAACAACATGTAGGTTATCCAGTGGTTGGGAGGGAACGGTTTGGAGCTATCCATATTCCCTTTCAAACTGAGACACAAGGTAAAACAATAAATGTGCGTGTTTTAGCCAGAACAGGAGCATTGCGAAAATGAAGGCCCAAAGTAGAACAACAGAAGTACGCTGGACGATGCTTGAAATGGAAGCGTATCATATCGCTTGCCACAGCCACGATATTGCTGAAGCTCTGCAGAACAAAAGGATGGAACCGCAACCCATATTATATTATATATATATATATACATGTGTTATATTTATCTCAGCATTTGAAGGTTTAGTCTTGTCCCCTTGAAGATTGTCGGGAGTCTTTTTCCAACATCCCATTTTAATCCATTTTACATAGTTGACTATGGAAAAAAAACTCTTAAACTCTAGTACAATATTGGCACCAGTTCTGTTTGGTACACAAACCCATGTAAGATCATGTACCCTCTGGTAAAATCACTATGACTATAAATGGTGATTACTCTCTATACATGGTGATTTTCCATAATAGTTATGTTAAATTACCAGAGTGTAACTAGTTCGACATACGATAAAGCATCCACCAGCGTCAGGTCTGCAACGGACAGCAAGCCTTGGAGGTCTCCAAAAACTGGTGGGGCGCTTGTAGCAGTGTGCTGGCAGCGAACTGGGGGCTCCCGTTGACGATAAGCGCGGGCAGAACTAATGTCAATCTTAGCCAACTGGATGGGTAGTCTAATCTTTTAATCCGTTCGTGTTTTTTTTTCGGCAAAAAGTGGATAATGACCATATCCAGCAACAAATGAGTTTTTGTGGACTATCACGCGCTGCATGCTCCTTGTACCTGGATTGAATATCCGGCCATTATTTGATGATGCTTTGCGAACCCTTGAGCAGACCCGCAGAACTTTTTAGTACAAAATGTGTTTCACCTACATTGAGCCTATATATTGAAAAAGTTGCTGTTCCGTTGCTCATGTAGCTTTTGTGTATACCATTAGCAATTTCCTGATATCTAGCATATCTCTGATGTATATCGGATATCTATAGTATTTTCCAATAAACAATTCACATCGAATCACACACGTATACACTATATTCATGGCTGTATAGCTAGATATAGCTGGCCATGTAGTTCCTTTTTCCCGCTAGTCGAGAACGCTCCTGCCCTGGCTTCGAAGGTTATGGCTATGTGAACTGCCGGACCAGGGACAATGCGGGCCTGTGCCTTGCTGTATGGGGGTTTCATGGGGTTGGTTTGGGGGTTCAATACTGAGATGATCTAATGTGGGATGATGTGTGATCATCCCCTTTCTAGGAAACCACCATGAATTTTATTTCAAAAATCTAAACTATGCGTAAGTTGCGCAATTGTCCTGGCATGAGTTGGATCACACATCACTGCCAAAGCCAAGATTTCATGGGACAACCGGCCTTGGTGAAATACTTTGTAAAAGGGAAAATCCGGCGGAGCTCCTGACCTCTGCTTGCAGATAACAGATGAACATTCTGGATTCTGGATTGCCCCGTGAAATTGTTTCGTTATCAGATAATAACTATTCACAAAATGGATGTGAACATCAGAAAATAAGCATATGAACCATACATAACCATACATAAGTTACATAAGCTAACAATCGAACATTCGAACATTTACCTTAACTATCCTTAACTTATGTTGTTTTAGAATGTTTTAGATGATTGTTTTAAAGCCAGTGACCAGCCGAAACAGAGGTGTTGCTGTCCAGTGGGAGAGCGCCTACTGGAGCCTCAGCTGAAAAAACATGGGCCCGGAGGATGCGGTGGCTTCGATGATTTTGGATCAATGAATCTGGAATCATGGGAAAATCATGGGAAAATCAGGGGAAAATCATGGGAAAATCGTGGGAAAATCATGAAAACTTGGAAATATAGGAAAACATGTCATAACCATGTGAACATACAGGAGAATCCACTTAAGTTGGAGCTTTTAACGGGAAAATTTGACAATCCTGGATTCTGCTGAGTCGAATTCGCGGATCTTTTCCCGGAATCTTTGTTGGGAATATGGCTGATTTTGGGGTGTGGGTTCCGGATCAGCCATCCCAAGTATTTGGAAAATCCATGTGGAAGCATGATGACATGTAACTCGTCATAGGATTATATGGCATGCTCTTCGGGACGTGTCGCCTCAAACAATTTGGCACTGGAAAATGCTAAAGGAATCCCATGGGAATCCCACAGGAAACTGAAGGAATCCAAACAAAAACTACAAAATGCTAGAAAAATCCAATGAAATTCGGCGTATTATTTGATTCTTTTTGGAGATCTCACCACCGGAAGTCTACACAATCAATTCATAAGAAACAGGGAATGCTGAAAGAAAACTAGAAATCAGAAAAAAAACGATAAACCAATAACACCAAGAAGACTGAAAGAAACTAAACAAGACTAGAACAACTACAAAAAGTTGAAAAGGGCAAAAACAAGCTAACAAAAGCTAAAAGCTAGAAAATACTAAAAACATAATTAAAAAAGAAACTCAAGACACCTAAAAGCCAAACATAAAAAAAATAACATAATCCTACTTTTGGGCCGCAGAAGGGGCACTCCCTCCAAGAGCTTTTCCTTAGCATGCTTGAGTGTTATTGTCTAGTCTAGTTATGTTCTGCTTTCTTTGATATTTTCTACTAGTAGTACCACACAAGGCGGTGGCGGAAGTGTCAAAAATAGGAAACCTATGGGAGAGGTTGGTTGTTGTGAATCACGGATGGCAGAGCGAAGCCACTGATGGACCGAAAGGTGATTGATGTTTCCTCTCTTTCTCTCTCTTTCTCTGACTATCTACCTACCTACCTACTCATCTATCTACCTATCTATCTACCTACCTATCTATCTATCTATCTATGTATCTATCTATCTTTCTTTCTTTCTATTTATCTATCTATCTATCTATCTATCTATGTATCTATCTATCTATGTATCTATCTATCTTTCTTTCTTTCTATTTATCTATCTATCTATCTATCTATCTATCTATGTATCTATCTATCTATGTATCTATCTATCTTTCTTTCTATTTATCTATCTATCTATCTTTCTTTCTTTCTATTTATCTATCTATCTATCTATCTATCTATCTATCTGTCAATCTATCTATCTACCTATCTATCTATCTATCTCTCTCTCTCTCTCTCTTTCTAGCTGTCTAGCTGTCTAGCTGTCTAGCTGTCTAGCTGTCTAGCTGTCTATCTGTCTATCTATCTATCTATCTGTCTTTCTATCTATCTGTGGTGTTTTGTACATTTTGACTTCGAAATGTGCTTCGCGCCACGGCGTGCACTTTTTCGAGATCTGAACCTCCAAAAGTGGTCCGAGCATGGTGTGTTTTGTACATTTTGACTTGGAAATGTTCTTCGCGCCACAGCGGCGTGCACTTTGTGCTTTGTACCTTTTGACTTCGAAATGTGCTTCTCGCCACAACGGCGTGCACTTTTTTATCTCTCATCTGGCCAGCTGGCTCCGCACCCGCCGCTTTAGCGAGCCACTTTTCGACCCTCCAGAGCCACAAATCATTGGAAAAACACAGTGTTTCGCGACTTTCCTACCTTTTGGCGCATCTGCATCTTCTGTCTTCTTACTCTTTCTCTTCTACTCTTCTTTCTTCTAATCTTTCTCTTCTCTCTGCCTCTTCCCTGTTTGCTTTTCATCTGTCCATATTGTCGGAAGTTTGCCTTCTAAACTTCCTTCGATTATTTTCTTTTAGCTCTCCAGCACCCTCGTCCAGCGAGTTGAACAGGCAGGTCTTGAAGAGGCTTGTGACGTGTGAGTCAGAACTCTGACATCCATATGGAAACTATTGTCCCGCCTTGATCGAACAGAGACACATTGACTCTTCATTATCTACAGTTCTTCACTGGGTGGGTGCCCAACATCACTTTTTTTTGGAGAGTGGCGAAACATGAAACGTGGCTAAACCTCAACCTCCAACTCCCGCTTTTTGGGCAAAACAGAATTTCATGATATTTCATGAGCGTACTTCAACTGGGGAATCTCTGTTGTCGTACCTTGTTGCCGTGTTGCCGAATTGGGTCACGGGAGTTACTGTGCACATAGCAATCCAACAAGGTCATCGCACAGGAGGGTATGGTGATGGGAATGGGGTCCCTTCCTTGTTAGTTAATTGATCGAAAATCGATATGGTATATATTTAATTTATTTTGGTGGTCTCGATATGTATACACTTCCCAACCCTACCCGAGATCACATTTCAATCTCTTTGAGGACCCAAATATCTCATGACCGCCGTGCTGCTGAGGCGGGTGAGGGTGGCTGTGAACCATGCCGGCGCTTGAAAGGACGCTTGGATGCCCTGCATGAGTTCCCGCTGCTGCCGCTTGGTTGCGGCAACCATGTGGCGGTTAAAATGGTGAAAAACTGAAAAACTATGAAAACTATGTCAAGTAATGGGGGGGAATGTCGGACAAACCATAGTTGGTGTACTCGGTTTTCGCGCATTTATTTCATCGCTCTGCAGATCGCTTCTCACCTATATAACTATTGCCGCTTGACACCATCAGGCAGTGGGCACTTGTTCTCTTCAACCAATGAGGAAGTCATTCAATCACCAGTCGGATCCAATCGGTTTGATTTCGAGGTAGTCCCTATCGAGCACTCATGGCGGACTGCTGACTGTATGTTTGGTAGGGAAATTCTGGTGGTTTATGGATGCTTCTGGTTGATCTTAATAGTGGAGGGACGTTGAAGAAAAGGCATGAACTCAGTTTGACAGGTATTCACTGGCCGAAGATGACTGGCAGAACAGTTTCTACTTGATGCTATTCTTTGGCTTGGTGCCGCGGCACACTGGGAGTTTGGTAGGTCGCAACCAAGCGTCAATGGTTGATGGTTAACATGCAGCACGTTGGGAGTTGTTTGGGTACAATATATTGTATATGTAGGTATGGTGCATAGCAAACACCCTCATTTGCATCACCTGTTTCCACACGTTGAACAGCACAACTTTGTGACTATGTGATAGTAGTTGAGCTATGATCTTATATGATTCAGAGACACACCTGTACCTCTGTACGTGCATTAATATGCTTACTTCTTCATCTATGCAAAATGAAAAACAATATAATAGGGTAACGTTATTGGAAAACATGATGCGATTGTGACGAGCTACTTACACACAACATCTGACAACCATATAGTACAAGTGCCCAGTTTTTTATCCTCCTTTTTGTTTGTATTATTCGTTTCTGTTCATTGCTAGTCTCACATTCTCACAGCATATAATGTAGGCATGGTCATATTCACAATACATACATATATATTATTTATTATATATCATATATGATAATAAATTATAGCCTTATACATTACAGAGTCGGGAAGGCAAAATCCATGCAGGCCCACAGCCCTCAAAATAGAGCACAAAACCAAAGGAACCGCAGAAGTTTCAAAAGCTGCAAGAAAGCCCGTGCTGTTGGTTGAATCTTGACAGTCACAAGCGGCACAAAAACCTTTGTACAGCCGGAGGCAATGTACAGGACCCTGGGCGCAACCTTCTGCACGCTGGAAAAACATGTAAGGCAAGCTCTGAAATTGAAAGCAAGCAGCTTACTGTAACCAGGAAGGCGCCAAAACTGGCTTTTGTGAGTGGCGACGTTGATTCCTGGGGGGGAGCGAGGCCACGTCGTGCACATAGCGTGTGATTTGTTTAATGAAATTTAGGGGCTGCAGTTGCCAATACAATATGTTCCTTGATGGGTTCAAAACTTCTAAAGTTACTAAAGCTTTACCGCGCGTGACTTCAGAAAAGCCCAATGGCACAGAAGCAATAATGCAATGTTTCCATCTCAAAAACTAAACACGAGTTCAAAATGTCCATTTGCTTGGTCGCAAAACTGTTAAGGACATGTTGAAGGCTACTAAGCACAATTTCCTAAGTCGTAGTGACTTGGCCACGAACCCACTAAGAAAACTGTCCAGAGATCAAAAGAAATAGTATCCGCTTCTATTCCTTTCAATTTGATGGACGCCCCTAGCCGGCCTGCGTCCAAGCCAATGTGATTCGCAACTCATGCATTTCTTCGTTTTACATAAACACACTGGCAGTGATGCTGCCCTGGCAACAGGATTTCCCCTAAGACTTTACCACCAGATCCTGGAAAAGCACCAAACCAAAATGGCAAGTTTTTTCTGAAAGCCTAGGTGGGCCCAAGGCACTAAAACCGGGGCCGCAAATCAGAAGGAAATGAGGCTTTGGGTATGTACCCTTGGAGTATATACATATATATATATATATTTATTTGTTTATTACAGCACATATGTATATATATATATACACTATTAATTAAGTAGATTAAATAGAGTTATGTATATATATATATTATTGGGATGCCGATGGAGAGAGAGATACATATGATTGTATATGTGTTTTCTCTTTCATAGAAAGAAATATATGGATATTCTGCACTCATCGAGATCATCAAGCGGCCCAAGCCCAGGTCTTGTTGCCACTGCCGTGGGCCATCGTAGCTCGCTGCTGTTGGCACCTGACAGATTCGGCCACCCTTCGGGACAGCTTTTTGCAATACGAAGTCCGCAATCAGCGGAAACAGATCGCAGAGAAGCTTATTTTCGATGGGATTTATGTGGGATTTACCCAACAGAAAATGGGAGGTTCATGGGATCTTAAGCCACTTAGAAGATGTTTGTTTGTGGTTCCAAGTGGCTTTTAATGGGCTTCTGATTGGATTTGACCAGGATCATTACGGAAATATGGAAAAACTATGCGAAAACAATGGGATAATCATGAATCATGATTGCTGGATAGTGTGTCAGGGATCGCTCGAAGTAAAACAATACATTATATGTTTTTCTCAGTCGTATACTTGGTATGATCGCACTTGGCGACCTCATATGTTTGGGTAGGTCTTTACACCCCCAAAGGTGGCCCTCCAAATGATGACAGTACATGTGCATGGTTATATTAAATCCTTTTGAAACTCAACATGATTTGGGCGGGTCACCGAATCCCAATGATATTTTTGAGCGGGGTGGAAGTTGTTTTTTTGTTTTCGAAAGGGGGTCTCGTAAAATGGGGGCACCCCAAATCATCTATGGTGACCTGGGGATCCGTTCAGGACTTGGATTGGTGCCTCAACTTTGCATGGTCCTTGGACCATTCATGTGGCCAGCATGTCTGGAGACTGTCGTGCCCTTGGCAAGGAAAGTGCAAGCCATGGTTTGCCAAGCCTTGTAAAACATAATTCAATCCCAAAATATCCCCGACTGGGGATAGATTTTTTAAAAAATCAAAACCTATGATGCCACTTTTTGAGGGGATGAACATGGATGAACATCCAGCCTTTATTCTTGTGTTCGCCAGGACTATTTGGGTGTTCACCACAGGGTGCCGGGGTTTTGACACATACCCATCTAGCCTCCTTAGAACTGATATGGAAACCACATGGTTTTGATTGAAATGATGAAATTGATTACATGGTCCAAACAGGGTTTCCATCTTGAACTTCAGGAGTTGTCCCTATGGACGGATTGCTTCACATGGATGGCCTGATCTGTTTTGAAAAAACTATAGGACCACAGATTGTTCATGATTTTTCGGAAGCGTAAGGTCCGAATTCCAACAGGCATGCGCTCAAAGTGTGTGAGTGGTTGGTGAATTTGAGTTTCCTCTAGCTATTCCTGTTCGATCAGTTGATCCCTCGTTGTGAAGAATCTTCAGTTGATTTGTTGTGACCCAGACTGACAAGAGATCCCTCACATCTATCCAAACTGTGAATTGGATTTTTGTAGCCCTACATCCCTGGTGGAAAGAATCCACATCCAATTTAAGCATATATCATCGCCTTTTAGGGCTGCGCAGTTGGCTAGCACCTTAGTTCGCTGATGTTGTGGCGCCATGGCAGTGGTTCGTACCGGTACGAACCAAGTGATGAAGGCTCCTGGCTGATTCGACATGATTTGATCATCCACGGACGAAATGAGACAAATCTGGTCAGATCTACCATGATATTCTGATATATTCTGGTTGGTGGTTTGGGGCATTTTTTAATTTTCCATATGTTGGGAATAATCATCCCAACTGTGATATTTTCAGAGGGGTTGAAATCACCAACCAGTGATATATTCTGATACAGAAATCAGCTGAATCTGAATATTTTGGAAGACAGTCAGATTCAGAAGCTACACTGTACTCAGAAACGCTCCGTGTGTCGGACATATGAAAGCCAGATGCTCCATGGATGGAATGTTTATCAACCATTTACCTGATAAATGACCCAAAGTAGGTAAATATGTATATTAATTGTATACATATATATATATATTTATATAGATATCGTATATACATGGAGCATATGGGAAATGCTTTGTCAAAGAAAACCCGTCGATTAGGGAGAGCTACAAATGAATAATTGATTGAGGCAATGTAGAGAGAATTTTGCAACCAACAATCATGATTATACCCTTTGGAAATCAAACGTAGCAATGGAAAGTACCACATTTGCAGATGATTTTCCCATTTAGTGCCCATTTATAGGGGATTCACATTGACATGTTTCATTGCCGGTCCAATTTCTTTAGATTTCGGCTTAGCGTTTTCCGTGGCCAAAAAAAGCGTTGGACCCGTTGGACGCGTTGGACGCGTTGGACCCATGGCTGGTGAGTGAGAAAATGCACTACCAAAACACGGTGCAGGTGGCTGCTGGCCTAAATTTGATGATCGCTAAATCGTAGTCTTGCATGATCTAACTATCCTGAAACAGGGTTTCTTGGTATATAATATTGTAATCATTATAATCTAGATTACTTGGCAAAATACTTATACATAATTACTTGGCAAGAAATTGCAGTTCACGTGCGGGTCTACCCAGTAACATATTATGCATTCCCTCGTGGACCCAAAATATGATTAGATCAATACTAGTTACTCAGCACTTTGGTTTGACGGGTAAACATGCCAAGCACAGGTGTCTCGGTTGTTCTTGCAAATTGGGGCGTATATATAGTCGTGTGTTTTTGGTGGAAGTAGGTTTATGTGTTTGACTTGGGAAATATGCGACTTGTCGACTCTTGAAAAGGGCAATATTGCATGAACATGAACGTAAGACAAGAATCAGGTGATAACCAGGGAATGGTGACATTAATCAAGTCACTACAGTATGACATGAACATAAATGAACATCAGCTGTTCATAAGTATTCATGCAAATGTGGTACCATCCAGGACCCACATTCTAGAATAACTATTAATTGGGGTTTCCTAAAATGGGGGTACCCTAAAACGGATACTAATGGAAAATTCTATTAACATTAATGATTTGGCTGTACCCCTATTTTAGGAAACCTCCATATGGCGGGAAGGGTTTGTTTTTTTGGTTGGGTGCTCCCCGGGGAAGTGAACTTAGGCTTGGCCATGGACGCCCTTGACTCCCGAGCTGTTGTATGTACCGGGGACCAGATTCCGTGTGAATGTGAGTGCGCATTTGCCCCTTGGATTTCGAAGAGAAAAGAGGTTTTGCATTTGGGGGTTTCATGCCCAAGGAAAGCTTCCCGGGATCAACTCAGATACGATGAGGTGAAAAGCTCATGTTTGAGTGCTTCTTTTGTCCAAAATAATCCAAAATACAATATACATGGCATGGAATAGGAAATATGATATAAATGGTATGGAATGGGAACTTTTCCAGGAAAGGATCTATTTTGAAATGGCGGATTTTCCACATGCATGCTATTTATGAATGTCTTGGATTGTCTTGGTGACTATACTTGAATGTAGCAATCCACAATCTTCCTCATTTTCGAGTTAGCTCAAAACATGTAGCTGGCTCAATTTCACAAGGGGTCATATGACTTTCATGTTGTGCCGCTGTCCAAAACGTGGCTCCTAAATTTCTGGGCTGCAACAGGGGTACCATCTCTATTAAACGAACCATGTGGGACTGAACCTGGCAATTGAACACATTGGGAAAAAATTGCAGGCTCGCTCAAGTGGAACGAGCTTCCTCAGCAACACCGCGCTAGCTCAAACACATCGCTCTAGCTCGATCGCATCGAGCTGGCTCAATTTTCTTGAACGAAAAAACAACTCGAAAAAATTGAGTCAGCTACGTCACGTTGAGCTGGCGAACGAATGTGAAAGGTCAAAAACGAATACATAATATGTATTGGCCGGGGTGATGACGGCACACCGAGCTGGCTCAAGGGCATGTAGCTGGCTCATTTTTTCGCGTTTTTTTTGGTTCAAACAATTGAGCCAGCTACGAGGCGCTGAGCCAGCAACGAGGCATTGAGCCAGCTACTTAACACTGAGCCAGCTACGAGGGAATGGTGAATCTGTACTGTACGGGACCGATAAATTTTCCGATGCAGCCTTTGCAGTTCCAGCAAATCAAATTATTGATTAATTCTGGCACCATGTGAGATAAAATAGAAGACTGGCAGCCTATACATATATGTATACAGTATACATATATAACCCCAACCGTACAATTAACAACCTGAGGCAACACCAGTTTTCTTGAGGGAGACGCGTACCCTTGAGCTGGAGGGAGATTGGGAAAAGTAACTGTCGATATGCTAATCCGAATCCGGCGACTCCACGGTTAAACCAGGCCCAACGAAAACCTCGCCTTGGCAATGCTGACGGCGCACCAGCGGAGTCGAGTGGAGCATGATATGGACGATCGGCAAGGTGGGTAAAGGATGGTTACCCGTACCCATGGCCCATCCCCCAATATCTCAAATCACTCCATGAGAAAATAATGGGTAGATATGGGTAGATGACAGTGACAGGTCATAGCTCAAAAGGCTGGTTTAAAAAAGAACAACTCGGAGTTGGGATGAAAGGGAATCATTCAAGCATATTTACTAAATATTTACCATCATTTATTGGGAGGTTTGGGAACTATGGTGAACTGGGAGTCTGGTTAACTATTGGTTGGTTTGATGATTTTGCTTGGGATAGACCATGAAAGGTTTAATGGGGACGGACTTGTGCAATATGGACCTATTCGGATCCTACGCTACCGACCAGTAACTTAGTACAGTGGAGGTCCTTTACCAGCTATACGTCAGTTATAACTTAAAACCCCACGTATGGACTGAGAACCCCACTGATAGCCATTTGTAACTGGTAAAGGGCCACAACTGTACAAAACTGCCAGAGTAATAGTAGATGTCCCATGTCCCAGCTGAATGGATGCTGGAGTTATCGTACAGTGCTGGCCGTGCAGGAATTCAACGTGATTCTACCTGCAGCACAGGCGATTCAATCAAGAAAGATGATTTAAAACAGAACTACTATAATGTTGTTAAAGCAATAATAAACCATCCCCCAGTCATCACCATCGATAGGTGGGATTCAAACCAGTCCCCACATGGGTAGCTTATCATTGTTTTAACCAGATTAATTGTATTTAGTGTCTCACGTTGGTGGCTTAATATTTTGTCACTGCAACACGATTTTTCTCTGTTCGGAATGGCTTTTGGGCACCAGCCACGTGCCATTAAACAAATCGTTGATTTTTCCCCATTAGTCGCACCGAAAAGGTTGCCTGGCAGCGATAGAATTTTGCCCACTTAAAAGTCGTTGAGTTGAATGATTCTCTTTGTTATCCACTTAAAAGGCCTTAAAAGGTCCGAAGAGTTCGTATTGTCCAGCGAAATCAGCCAGGTGAACCATGCTACTAGCTGCTAGCTAGCACAAATTCAAATCAGCTTTAAACCAGTGCCTCCAGATTTCTGGAATGAGTTTCATATTAACAATCCGCCCCTTTTTCACATCAATCCACATTTCAATCCATCGCAGGTTATCCGATGTCCTTGTGGCGCGCCAGTCTGGCGGAGCCGGTTGTGGCCACCTTCCAAAGCTGGAGCAAAGAACCCGTGGCCATCGGCGCTTTGGCGTCCCAGGTAATCCCAGAATTTACCCTTTGTTAAATTAACATGACTATGGAAAATCACAACTTTAAAGGGGTAAATCAACTATTTCTATGGCCATGTTTAATGTTATATATCCCAATACCTGCATCTTCCAATGTATGCAAAATTATTGCCTTTTCAGGAATTATTGCTGGCGGCATATTTTTCTGCCTCCAAACAGTTTTTGTATGTTTGTCATTTTGCATGCGTTTGCCGGTTTTGAAACGGCGAAAAAACCCAACGAAACGGCGAAAAAAATCAAGAGCCTAAAATGTGGAAACTGAAACGGCGAAAAAAACTGGAAACGGCACAAATTTAGGCAACCGGCGATATTTATTGCTGTTTCAAAATTCGAGCGATAATTTTGCACATGTGGATTGTCCAGGTATTTATATTTACAGTGGATGATAAGGAATATGAAGGTTTCCTAAGTCATGGGGGTCCCCAAAATCATCCCCAACTGACCATTTTAGTATTGAAACACGTTGAAACCATTTCAAGAAACCCCCATTTTTCCCAAAAGCATCTCCGATGCTTGGGTTCTCGTTTAGTTTACTTTGCCGCAGGGGGAACGACACTTCAGCGACGACAGGGCGGATGGACGGGAAACCGTGGGAAATAGCTTGGGGAGATCTTCGTTGCGAAGGAGCGACACAGAAGTGTGGACATGGTGGACGGACGGGAAAGCGTGGGAAATAGCTTGGGGAGAGCTCCCTGTTGGGAGGGAGCGTGATGGAAGCCTGGACATGGTGGACGGATAAGAAACCGTGAGAAATAGCTTGGGGAGAGCTCCGTTGGCGTTGGGAGGGAGCGATATATAGTGAGAATTTATAAAGGTGTTGGCACGGGTTTTCACAGGACAAATTCCATCATGTGGTTGTGCCGAAAAACTGTGCGCCCAAGACTTGTCAAGCGGTGTGCAAACATTGGGCGATGGGACATGCATAGCTTCATTGGCAGGGAGCGAGGCTAAAAGAGCAGAGCTGTTGGCACGGGTTTTTCAGGACAAATTCCATCAATGCGATTGTGCCGAAAAACTGTGCGCCCAAGACTTGTCAAGCGGCGTGCAACCACTGGGCGATGGGACATGCATAGCTTCGTTGGCAGGGAGCGACACTAAAAATGCGCAGCTGTTGGCACGGGTTTTCAGGACAAATTTCATCAATACGATTGTTCCGAAAACTGTGCGCCCAAGACCTGCCAAAGTTTCCAAACCCTAGGCCATGGGACATGCATAGCTTCGTTGGCAGAGAGCGAGACTAAAAGACTAGCGCTGTTGGCACGGATTTTTCAACGCGATTGTCCCAAAAAAAATTGGTGCCAAAGATGTCTCAAACGGCGTCTACATGCTGGGCAAAGGGACATTCCGGACATGCATGGGAAAAAGTTCTTTGCTGGAGGGGTTTTCATTTTACACGGCGTTCTGTCCGTCGATGCTTGGTTTTCGCTCCCTTTGCGGCGAAGCAAACTAAATAGAACCCAAGCATAGGATATGCATCAGCGTGAACGGACAGGTGGGGAAATAGCTTGGGAAGAGCTCTGCTGGGAGGGGGTGGCACTGAACATGCGGAGCTGTTGGCACGGGCTTTACACAGAGCAGCTTTTACACAGAGGAGCTTTCCACGGAGGATCTTTTACACAGAGAAGCTTGTACGCAGGGAGGACTTTACACACAGAGTCTTTTACACAGAGAAACTTTTACACAGGAAAGGTTTTACACACAGAAGCTTTGACACAGAGAAGTCTTTACACAGAGGAGCTTTTACACAAAGAAGCTTGTACGCACAGAGGAGCGTTTACACACAGACGCTTTTACACAAAGAAACTTTTACGCAGAGCAGCTTTTACACACAGCACGCGGAGGAGCTTTACACACAGAAGCTTTTACACACAGAAGCTTTTACACAGGAAAGCCTTTACACAGAGAAGCTCTTACACACAGAAGCTTTTACACAAAAAAGTGTTTACACAGAAACTTTTACGCACAGAAGCTTTTACACACAGACGCGTCTACACAGGAGTGTTTACACAGGGATGCGTTTACACACAGAAGCCCCTACGCACAGAAGCTTTTACGCAGAGTAGCTTTTACACAGAGAAGTCTTTACACAGAGAAGTCTTGACACAGACAAGCTTGTACACACAGAGGCTTTTAGAGAGAGAAGTCTTTTTACACAGAGAAGTCTTGACACAGAGGAGCTTTTACACAGAGAAGTCCTTCTTACGCAAAGGAGCTTTTACAAAAGACCTTAACACAGAGGAAATTTTACACACAGAAGCTGGTACGCAAAGAAACTTTCACAAACATAAACTTTACACACAGAGAACGTTTTACACAGAAGTTTTTACACACAGTACAAACCTTTACACCGATATTTTTTACCCACAGAAGCTTTTACATACAGAATCTTTTGCGCAAAGAAACTTTTACACACAGAAACTTTTACACACAGAAGCTTTTACACACAGAAGTTGTTTCACAAAAAAAGGTTTACACAGAGGAACTTTTACACAAAGAAACTTGTACGCACAGACGCGTTTACACATAGTAGCGTTTACGCATAGAAGCTTTGTACAGAGAAGTCTTTACCCATCTTTCATCATGTCTCATGTTTCATGGTCATTCACCATCTGTCATCTTCATATCTTCGTTTTCATGCCCTTTTGGTCAACTCCCTCCATCGTTTAGTTTTCATTTCGCATGGTGTTCTGTTCGCCCACGCTTCGTCTTCGTCCTCGTTCCCCCTGCGGCGAAGCAAACTAAACGAGAACCCAGGAATAAATAGCGACTAGAAAGATGGGATAGAGTTAATTACATTAGCAGAAATAGCGACTAGAAGAATGTAGACGTAGCTGACACAGCATGCTGTGGTGAATTGTGGCCCCTGATGCCATCAGTGCGCACGATGTTTCAGTAAAGATCTTACGTCGATTTCGTGCAGAGCACAGCTGCCCACACCACAATATTTTTTAAAGAAGGCGTGCTGCGTGCCGTCTTGCTTTTGCGTTCTCTGGCCGACCTTGTGTGTTTTCTGGGGACATTAATTGTAATGACCTCACTGCGACCTCACTGGAATGACGCTTTGTAAGGGGAATCATCATCCCCAGTGGCCTTGCTGCCGCTGTATGGCTGGGGTCCGCGTTTAAGAAGTGCTGTGGCCCTAATTCAGGCTAGTGAAATATTGTAATTTACCCAGATACAGGGCGGTTCAACGGCCATGTAAATCAGAGACTTAACATCAACCAATGGGATCTAACGGGATTTAATGTATATATGATGAGCTCTTTATTTATATTTACAAATGGTAACTATTAAACACTGTAAAAATCATGGATATATAAGGGGACAGGCCATCAACCACCTGGCAATATGTACCCTAGGGTAGATGTTTACATAGATGTGATGTGGAAAACCCTTGACAGACCCATTTGTATTATCCACCTCTCTTCCTCTCTGTACTTCTTTTTTTGATGGGATGAGATTTAGTATTGTAAAGAACGTCACCATTGTATGGTTCCAAATATGTCAACCCCCTGTTAGACATTAAAAAATAAATGGTTTCTTTAGGTCTGTGTAGTATTGTTTAGTATAAACGGGGATGGAATGAGTGTGGGCCATATCTACCTCATAATCCATCAGTAGTATATAAATAACTATATATAGAGAGAGAGAGAGCTGCCGATGTTCGATATTCTACACATATATGTATATATAATTTTATTTACATATGTATATATATATTTATTTATTTATATTCACACATACAAATATACATATATATATATATATGTATATATATATATATATTATTTTTAGAGATTAGATATAGGGAGATAGATAAGTTGGTTATCGTATTGTGATTTCCGATTCCTAACCCGAGTTTCGTCGCAACCCAGCAAGTGAGGTTCCTCGGAAAGATTGGACCAACAAGAGGTTATTCAAGGATAAGGTCTTAAACGTGATTGTGGTAAATTAAAGGGTTGAGACATGACTTGAGGGTCGATTCAGACATGTAGTATGAGTTAGTATTTAAGTCAATATTACAGTATATCCAACGTCCGGTGATTTTTGCCGTTGCGTTTTTACCATGATCTTCTCAGTGGTCCATTCAAGGAATCCAAGACGGAGGCGCTGTGCCATGTATGAGGTCATATATAATGATACAGGTCATATTTTGCCTTGCTGATAAGATCATGGCATGATATTTAAATTTCCCCCTGTGAATTCTACAGGAATATTGCCATCTAAACCATTTTGAAACTGGTGCACGACTGGTGCGCATAGTTCATCCAACTCTGGAGTGAGAACAAGTCCCACCAACTCTGGTGAAGGGTGTTTGAAACCCAGCTGGTCCAATCGTTTGCACCAGTTTCTTGACCAAACCGGTTCTACTGTTTGAATTCAAGCAGATGAGTGTTGCCAACTGTCGTTTTTTGTTTTTTTTCAGTCATGTTGATTGACCTTCCCCCCAACAAAACCTTGGAAAGAAAGCGAACTTGGAACATGATAGACATTTGTTCATCACCACCTGTTTTATCACTGTTTTTGTGGGCAATTTCATCATGTGTTGCTGCTCAATGGATTGACGATTAAAAACAAACACATCACATAGCCCATCCAGTGCGTTTCCCTGAACATGTTTGCTGATATCCCCTTGATATCTCCTGATCCAAGATTCCTTCTGAATCGTATGTGGTTTTCCCGGCTGCGCTCCAGGTATTCTTCAAAATTGGCCCACTTTTCCCCCAATGGTGGTGACTGGTGCGGTGAGTTTCGACCCAGTTGGCGGCCGCCATCTTCCACCCGAATTGCAGGTGGGGTTTGGGAGTTGGACCTGGAACCTGGAAATCATGAGGGAGTCAACTGAGAGTTATTGTGATATAGATGGATGTACGATGATAAAGGGGAGTCGAGGACCAACAATTTTGGAGAAGCTGACTGGATGTTTGTTTGGGAGATTTATATATTAGTTTTGAACATAAAAATTGAGGAGAGAGAGAGCTACAAAAATAGGGGACAAGCAACTGGTGAGGGATAGTATAGTGACGTAGTTGAATTGCTATGGATTGAGGTATCTAAATAAACCTAACCAGCTACATTAGCTATTTAAAGAGCATAGTTCTTCACGGGGTATCCAAGACCGGCCATGACCATGTCCGTTTGATTCACTCGTTTACAGTATATACAAACAAGCGGTTTGCCCGGAAACCCAACCGTTGATCATCATTTTCTGTTTGTTTGGTCATTTTTTGTCGCGTAGCTTGTTATTGGCTAGACCTTTGGCTATGGCTACAAAAAGATGCCCTTGTGTAATTCAACAGTTTGCCATGGAAAATTGCCCATTGACAGATGTTTATCCATGGCCCATTAATGGTGACTTTCCGGTCCGCTTGGATAGACATCAGGATTTACCCCTCGGTGTTTGATGACACGTGGCAAGCTGGGAAATTTACCCAAATTTCGATGTATTTCAAAGTGCGGAAACCATCGAACTAAAGGGGATGTTCCAGCTGGCCATGTTTGATTACCGGAGGGTGGCCAAATTTATTGACTTAAGCTTGGTATATGGTAGGTTGATGGCAGTTGATGGGTTCTTGTAGTGGCCATGAAAGCAGGAATATAGTGGAATGTATGCATACTGCAATAGAAAAGACTCCCAATGAAACTCCCACATGTTGCATATGAACCACCACCACCGTCTTGAATTGGAGCAACCCAAAACCCTTGCTTTGATTAAATAGAGGACCATTCAATCATTGGCTTTTAACTTCCAACTTCCAACCATCAACCACAGGGGGCCGCATCGATGGTTCAAGCACCGATCATTTTATGGGCTTTGTCACTCACTTCATGGGGGTTATAAGTTATAATCATCCATTCATTCCCATTCATATGAAACACCCCCATTCTATGGTCCCAAATATGTGACTTCATCCCCTTCCAAGCTATGGTTTATGGGTGGTGTTTGATATGGACGAGGGAAGGGATGAGTTCAGGAATCGCACAAAGGCAGCAGCAGAAGTCAATGCCACAAAGTTTGGTCGCTGTGTTTATGTTGCTAATGGTGCTACTTCTCTAATGTTGGAATTCCCAATCTTCCATTTTTTCGATCTAGCTCAAAACATGTAGCTGGCTCAATTTCATCAGGGGTATGTTTTGACAGTCACCTTGGGCTTTTTCAGAGGTACCATATCTAGTACTAAAGTAATCAGTGGGGATTGAACCTGGCAATTTAATGCAATTTAACAGATTGGGAAGTTTCTGCGAGCTCGCTCAACTGCAACGAGCTGGCTCAGCACCATCGAGCTCGCTCAATGCCACGTAGCTGGCTCAGGGGCATCGAGCTAGCTCAATGGCATCGAGCTGGCTCAATTTTTTTAGCGAGAAAAAAAAAAAAACTCGCAGAAATTGAGCCAGCTACGTCACGTTGAGCTGGCGGACGAATGTGAGAGCATCAAAACGAATACTAGCTATGTATTGGCCGGGTTCATGACGCATTGGCGAGCCGGCTCAAGGGCATGTAGCCGGCTCAATTTCTGCGAGGTTTTTTTTTTCTTTTTTTTTTTCGCTAAAAAAATTGAGCCAGCTACGTGGCGCTGAGCCAGCTACGAGGCGCTGAGCCAGCTACGTGGCATTGAGCCAGCTACGTGGCACTGAGCCAGCTACGTGGCACTGAGCCAGCAAGGTAGCTTTGAGCTTTGAGCTAGCAAGGAGGCAGTGAGCCAGCAAGGTAGCTTTGAGCTTCATCATATATATATACACCTATGCAATCCCAACCATGTAATATACTAGATCTAGGGAAAAGCAATTTTTTTGAGGGAGACACGTACCTTTGAGCTGGAGCGGGAATGTGAAATCTAACATTGTAACTTCGGGAATCTGCAGGGAATATTATATATATATACATATATGTGTTGGGTGATTCTTAAGCAAGTCCAAGATCATATAATCTATATAAATAATATATATATATATACAGGTACGGCCAAGACGGCCAAGAAACATGGAGGGGTAACATATTTCTAGACTGCCCTCCAGTCATCCAAACTGGCGTGCTACTCTTTTTTGTTTGCCATGAAGCAGATGGTTTTCCTACTTGATCGGACTAATCCGACCCATTTCTGTGCTTGACCTAAAATTGGTGGTGCTTCACACGGTAGAATCCAAGTATGGTCAAGGTGCAACAAGTGCTAAAGTATCTTACCTTGTTCTGTGGGTGTTAGACGCCAGAAGGGTGAAAGAGACTGCGCCATTATTGTCTGCCGCCTGCGCACGAATCTCCTTTGGATGTAGAATATGATGTTTCATGACGTCCAACAACAACAATTCATTAATAAAATTCGACTTTTTGGGTAGCCGAGCCGAGGTCCTAGCAATGGAACTTAGAGATGTGTTGGTTCCTCCTGGGGCCCCTGGGGTAAGTGCTCAGCTGTGGGGAAAGCTATCCAGGCCCAATACTCTAAAAGGGGACTTTCCGACCCTATTTGGTGATGGAGAATCCCACAAATAAATACTGCTTGGTGGTTTCAAACATTATTTATTTTCCATAATTGGGATAATCCTTCCATTGACTTTCATATTTTTCGAGATGGTTATTGCACCACCAACCAGTTATTTGCTATGTCATGGCATGTCATGGCACATTGGCAAATATTGGATATGCCTTTCCTGGTTGTAGCCATCCAGTTTGGATGGCTACTTTGGAGTTTCTAGATCTCTTTTGCTGGATCACCACTAGGATTTTTGGTGAATAACACTATTTATACATATGTAACTTTGTTATATTGTTATGGAACCCTGTTAATATGGAATAACGGTGAATAACGCCACTGAATGGGGGATACCGGGATACTGCGCCACGTCCCAGGTGTCAAATCTCGTTTTGAGCTTCGTTTTTGTGGCATGTTGCGCTTCAATCCTGATGCTGCTGGTCTACACCTTGCGCTTCAAAGATTGCCGAAGCCGTTTCTGGGCCCAACAAATCAACTGTGGGAAAGGTGGGAAAGGTCCCGGTGTTCCCTTTAAAAAAGACCACAAAAAGCGTGAAGCGAGACAACCTCAGCCTGGCGGCACCAGGGTGTAGCCAGATCAAGGAGGCTATACTGCTATACTATAGAAATCCTTTGCACAATGCTTTGCTACAGATCTGCTATGCACTTGATGCTACGCCACAATTTTGCTGCGTATGGCATTTGATGCTACTCCGCAGGTATGCTTTGCACTTGACTTTGCACTTGACGCTACGCTAGAGAGTTGCTTTTCAGTTATTACTACCCTACAGGTATGCTTGGAGGATCACACCATTTGGCAACTCGTTAGTAAGAAGTCTTCTTACCAATTTATACATGGATAACCCACTTAGAGGACTCGCTTTTTGGAGTTGTTACAATGGAGAAAGAAAAAACCGAACCCGAGTTGCTGCAACTATGTAAACCCTGTTCGAATCGACGCGAAATGACCTATAGGTGATAAGTATTGCATTTTGCGCATGATTTGCTTGCCATGGAAAATGGCCAAAGCTACGAAACCTTGAAAGGGTGCACATTTCCTTTTTTTGTATGTTGTGGAAATGTGCAAACTGATGACCACAGGGCCGAAAAATGGCGCCGGTACCTTGTTTGTATAGATTGGGTTTGTCAGACAATTCATGAAAATCCAATACCCCTTAAATTTAATGGTTGATAATCTTTTTCCCAGTAGAAAAGCCTATAAATTTGGGCGGTGCCCCGGTATAATCCATATCATGGAAAAATCCATTTCATCTCAGAAAATTGTTGCTTACCCCATCGATACATGGTACTTCACAACTGCCCAGCAGTACTGAGGTAGAGATCACGTTGTCATCAAAACATGGCTAGGAAGTCCCCTAACTAGATGGAGGTTCGAAGGGGGAACGCACCGAACTAAATGGGCAAATTTTCCCGCCGTGTTTGATTACTAGAGGGTTATAAGTTATGATGTTATATGGCTTTCGTATACCCTAGTATTCACCATGGTTTGATTTTTAGCATATATTTATTTGATGTTTTGAAGAAATTAAGTAGCATCCAGAATCATCATTTTGGCGTGTTCCAATGATCCCAATGGTTTGTCTCGGGTTGCCGGTGCAGTTGTTTGCTGCGGAATGTTGCATGACCACCAGTGAATGCCTTGTCAATGCACAGAAGACAAACAGTATAGGAGTCAAACCACCATGCAACAGATCCCATGGAAAGCAAATTGAAATTGGTTCATCAGTTTGGAGTTCAATCGGCAATATTTGCAGCAAACAAATCCCCATATTTGCTGGTTGGCATGTTTGCTGGTTCAGAAGTTCAAGGCCTATATTTAGTCCAAGAATCCGGCCCATGCGGCGAGGTTTACATTTGGCCTTCCTTGGCTGTTTCCTACTGAAATTTCTCACCTTGCTACTGCAGCTCGTGGAGTTGATCGATTCAGATGTCACCGGATATCCCTCCTTCTTTCGAGAGATTTCTGCTGTGGTCTTGAAGCATGTGCAGGACATTTGTGACATGGAAGCCAGATTGAGACGTTCTATGGGATATATTTGCATGAATGTCATCACGACGGAACCCGTCGCTAATGATGGGAATTGGATGGGGGGAATCATCCACAAAGAGTTAAATCAGGCAATATAATGGCTGAGACCTCCGCAATTGGCTATATAGACAGAGGAAGGTATATTTCATAAATGCATCCCGCGGGATATGGGTCAAAATCCAAGAGGCCGGTTTCCATACCTATGTTATTCTTCCGCTGTATCCCATAATATGATTCAAACATAGTCAACACATGCAACAAAAAAGGTGAACACCAAAATAGCTGGCAAGTGGATGTTCAAAGATGGTGGAATACGTTTTGATTAATTCCCATAGTTCTCATTTGGACCAGCACGTCTCAGGCCGTCGTTTCTTTCATTCGGAAAGGGTTAGGGGTTTACTCAGTAGTTGATCCGGTCACAGAAGCTGCTTCGACACTAGTTTCAGCACAACCTTCACTAAGAGAGAGAGAGAGAGAGAGGAAATGCGCTGCAAATTGCAACCTGCCATTACATGGGAGTGTGATTTGATTTACCCACTTGAGCCTACCCTGGCTACGTGTGGGATGGTTGGTTTCAAGCCTGATTCCAATAAACGATGCACATTGCACATCTTCAAGTTCAGATGATCATAAAGATTGCTTTCCTCCGCAGAAAGCGTTGGCTTGTTCTCGGTCTTCCGGGTGTTTTGACCACAAACCAGGTATCATGGGCGTCTTCTTCCTCATCGGCCGCCCAGATTTGAAAGTTTTTTTCTCCCATCGTAGCATTTTTTTTTGTGTGTGTACCCTGCTATTCACATGCAGGAAATTTACTACCGTTCAAACCAAAGATGAAATTCCGGCGAACATGAGTGACAATTTATTCACAACTTGCGTCCAGCTGTACTACGTGTAAATTCATTGCAGCTTAATTCAGTGCACATAACAGCAGGGGCGTGCAGCACCTTTGGCATACTGCACGCAACGAAGCTATTGCCATTGGTGGGAAGGGGACTCTGATCACCTCCCTGTACCTGCAGAATTTCAGTTTGAACTGTTGAGCAAGCTGTCCAGTTGCGTGGTTCTCCATAATTTCATTCTAGATTGCCCGGTTGCCTCAATCTACAATGTTTTTCTGATCCGAAGTTTGCCATATGCCAGTTCTGCGATGTTGACGCTAGAATTTCAGAATAGGTAGCTGGCACATGGGATCCTTAACCCAACAATCATACTGAAACATTGGTTTCACCTGTTTATCAAGGATGATGGCCCCAGGATTCTGGCCAGGCGCGTGCAAGAACATCATCATTGACGTTTCCAAATTCACAAAAAATCAGCAGTGTGTGTGGCTGGCCGGCTTGGAATACAAACATGTAATTTCCGATCTTTTGGGCTAACGTGGAAGCTTTGTCCGCGGCCTTGTGTGAGCGCATCACAGTGGATGATGTTGAATAAGACAAGGACCACTACTACAGCACTCACAAGCAGATATTGTAGTTTTCCAATGGGTTATTCAACTTCAATACCCTCTCCAACACCAAATTTGTTAAAGCAAGTTCTAGATTGTTTGTGCGTTTTTGAGGCTCACATGTGGTACCCCTCAAAGAATTATACATAAATACTTATATATAGATAAATCTATTAGTCTATTAGCCTATAGCCTATAGCCATAAAAGTGACTGACGTCACCTGGTTGAACTTATCAAAACCATTTTTGTAGTGAAATCTCATGTGTTCCTCGCACGGGTTGAGGCGTGGGATGGAAGATCACACGGCAACATCTCCGAAGTTCTGAGTGGATTTTTGCATTGGTTGCTATGGCCATCGGCTTCTTATTGCGGATGATGAGTCTTTTGGCGCTGTGCAAAAAGCAATGAGTATGTTTGAAAATGGCTTGGAGTCATAGAGAATGATTTACATGATACTCCCAAACGGCGATTTTAGAAGGGAAGATGGCATAGGATGGTGACTAACCGTGACTAACCATCAAATTGTGGTGTATTTCTTTTCACAGAAACCACAGGAACTGGATGAATTATAGCAACCTCGCAGCGACTTCACCATAGATGGTCGGGGGGCTCACGCTCTAAAATGTTGTGCGGAAAAAAACACATATGATTACAACGAGTTTTTGGGCGGTGTTTGAAATTAAGTTCATGTATCTTCAGGTTTTGTCATACTTTTCGTCGCGCTTCTTTTCATGCATACTTGGGACGGTTATTCATATATTCACATACAAACATCCATGCTGCCCACATGACCTCCTTGATTCATCTTCATTTCTCCATTTTGACATTTTCACCCCCGCACCCCATCTTCTCATCTTAACCAAAAAAATGACTTTTCGAGGCTTCCTTTGTGGCTTATTGGGTGCCTGCAACCCCATCCGTTACAAGTTGACAGTCTTCACGGTGAACGCCTTGTGCTCCTTGGTGATCATCGTGGCTACCAATTTCAACATCTTCGTGCTGACACGACAGCTGCAGGAGTCACACGTCTCTTCGGAGGCCTCCTGGATCTATGCCAAATTCTATGCCTATATGAGGCGGAAGTTGAAAACGTTGAAAATTCTGGGGTGCCCATGCATCTGGGTAAATCTTGAAACCTTTGGTATGCTGAAATTGGATTTAAAGTGACAGATTCAAATCCTAGGTTGGGGTTGAATACGGTTCAGTTCACATAGGCTGTTTCATGTGGGAGGGTCCATTTTATTGGCAGATTATATTGTCGGAGAACCCCCGAATAAGTCAACTCTAGGGACTCTAGGGTTTATTTATCCGGGGTTGAGATTAAAAATGTTGACCATCCCCGCCATCCCCCAAACATGCAGATTATCCCTGATATTTTTTTAATTTTTCCCCAAGCAGTGTGTCAACACTGAGGGGTTTTCTTGCGGTGGGTGTTAAGGCCCGGTGTTCAATCGAGGCGGTATCCGGGGCGTTTGGCATTTTCCCTTCAAATTTCAGCACAAAATGTTTCTTCTGACATGTCCATGTGCATTTCGACCGCGCAGGCTCGCACTAAACAGGTGTCGCGGGCTTGGCATACGGCACTTTTCCTGTAAATTTCCACACAAAATGGCTCTTGTGAAATGTCCGTGTACATTTCGACTGCGCACGCTCGCACAAAGTGTGCTTCCCGGTCTTGTGATCGGTCTTCGTCCTCAACATCATCGTCTTCCTCCTCCTCCTCCTCCTCCTCCTCAACAACATCCACATCGACATCATCATGTTCCTCTCATCACCATCATCATAATCATCACCATCATCACCACTATCATCACCATCATCATCATCAACAACATCATCAACATCATCATCATCATCATCAACATCATCATCACCATCACCATCACCAGCAGCATCACCAACAGCAGCATCATCAACATCATCATCATCTTCTTCATCATCGTCATCATCACTTTCACCACTTTCATCATCATCATCATCGTCGTCATCATCGTCATCATCATCACTATCATCAGCATCATCGTTATTATCATCGTCATCATCATCACTATCGTCATCATCATCATCATCATCACCATCATCATCATCAGCATCATCATCATCAACATTTCCATCATCATCATCATCATCAACATCATCAGCAACATTAACATCATCACCAACATTATAATGCATGATCTTTTTGCTCGCCCCACACTGTTTGGGGTCTCTTGCCGGGATAATTAGAGGAATCTCTGACTCATGGCAGGGTCCACAAAAGTTGGATACCGGTTTGGTGGATGGTATACGGGGTTTTCCCAAAGTTTTGGGCACACATACTCTTTTTTTTTAATCAACAGAGATATATATATATATATACCATATATATATAATATAATATAATATAGTATAATAAAATATAATTTATTTTAATAATATATTATAATAGATATATAACATATATATATATATATCATTTATATTGAACATAAAAATATTTAAATAACAATATATATATAATATCATATGTTTAAAATGTATTTTTTATATTTATATAAATATTGAAAATATCAAATATGATATTTATATATATATATGTTCAATATATATATATATATGTATATATATATATATGTATATTCAATAAATATATATATATATTCAATTTATTTTAAATAAATATAAACTAAAATATATTTCTTTATATATGTAAGGTGGTCCAAAAGCCCAACAGGTCATGTTAAAACATAGCGAAGAGGTGCTCTACTTTTGTGCCCTTGAGCACAAGAATCAACTACAATAGAGTGGAAGTCCCACAAGAATTGCCAGTAGCCAGTAGGACTAGTGTACTTTAAAAAAAATGAGCTGCTGTAATCCCCCTTGTACATTTTTGTGGACATGCCTCCTCCCTGTGAGGTTTCGCATTTGCGGCTTGGCGCTGCGAATCCGTTTGTTTCGTTACAATCATCAACTTCATCAACCACTGGTTGGCTGGTGGTTGTTGGTTGGAAATCTCAGGTTACCTCCAAGAAGATAACACCCTTTGGTCATTTAACATAGCCATGGACAAGCATCATTTTCTAAAGGTAAATCATCATTAAATCATCTATTTTCATGGGTCATTTTCCATAGCCATGTTTTTAAAATAACCAAGCAGATAATAGCCATGTTATTTAAATAACCAAGCAGATAGGTAAATCTATAGATCATCTTTTTCTATGGGCAATTTTTCGTCGCTATGTTAAACGACCAAAAAAATCAAGTAAATCATTATAGGTAATCTATCTCCATGGGCCATTTTCCATGGCCATGTTAAATAACCAGAAAATAAGCAAGGTAAGGTCGCCCGCAAAGACGCGTTTGTTTTGTTTGTCTCAGTGGTTCCGGTTCTCTTTGAGAACAATTAGATGTATGTTTAATGTACGTGATATGTATATTGAAATTAAATGTAAATTAATTAACAAATATACATGCATTATATGTACATGATATGTACCTTAAATGTATGTTATATGTATTTGTATAAAATATGTATATTATATTTCCATCATATGTAGCGTAGCGTCAAGTCAATAAAGCGGACGAAGCACCGATGGTACGGGCCGAGTCCAGCTGACTTATGTTTTTGTTTTAACGTATTCTATGTATATCATATAGTAATCCGTTTATTTAAATACAATATACCATCAAAATACCATGTTTTGCACACGTATATATATAATATATGTATATATATATATATTTATATTTATATTTATATGGCAAATGCCTGGGCTTTGCCCCGAACCGCAACGACGACGCGCAACGCACCATCGTCATCATCATCATCATCATCATCATCATCAGACTGTAGATTTTAATATGTCCCTAATACCTTTTTGTTGATCTTCCCAAATGAATGTAAAGCTTAACGGGTGTGGGATTTTAATATTCCTTAATACCTTTGTCGATCTTCCCAATTGAATGTAAAATTTAACGTGGATGGGATTTTAATGTTCCCAAGTACCTTTGTTGATCTTCCCAGTTGAATGTGGAGTTTAACGGGGGCCGGATTTTAATATTCCGTAATATGTTTGTTGATCTTCCCAATTGAATGTAAAGTTTAACGGGGGTGAAATTTTAATATTCCCTAATACTTTTGTTGATCTTCCCAATTGAATGTAAAGTTGCAACAACATCTGATTGGGAATGGGAACCCCGGTACGCTGCAACGCTGGGGCGAAGCCCAGGCGTTGCGCATATATATATACATATCAGAGAGAGAGAGAGGGAAAGAGATAGTTTTGATAATTGTTTTATGATCTCCGTTATTGTTCCTGAAAACCGTGTTTTGGAGCTCAAGTGATTGCGAGGTTACCTCTACTACATCATGCTTGAGGTCGCGTGCGACGCGGCCATGCGTTTGTTCAGAGAACCCATTGTGCAGGTGATGAAGGAAGTGGTTGAGTGGTTGCTCTTGACGGTGGTGCTGTGGGTTTGGCGGCCGGGCTATATGGAAGAGTACAAGGCGGTAAGGGCTGGCGTCAAGTCCAGATGGATTCCCACTATTTTGTTAGTGCTGTGGTTGGGGATAGACCCCAGCTGACATGGATTTCAAGGGGTTCACTTGGGATCTGAAGGGGAGCCCTGGCATGTTGTGGCCATGCCTCAGTGTGTAAACGCGACTTTAAACATGTGCCTATGCCGTAGGTGAGACCACTGTGCAGTTGCCCTCTGGTAATGATTAACACTTTGCGACATAGAAAATGGCGATAAAAATAGTTGATTTACCCATTAAACATGCCGATTTAGGAAATTAATGGTGTTTATCCCAGTTGTTGGCTCTGTCAGCTTCACATCCCAAAACGAGCAAGTCCATATGTTCAATTTCTGCTGGTTGTGTCAGCGCACTGATTGCCTCCCCAAAATCGCTCTCGAATTTTCTTGAAACAAATTTGACACGTATAATCATACGGACATCAAAGATACAACCATCACAAGTACCTATATATATATATGTAACATAGAGAGAGAGAGAAATATAGGGAGAGATGCAGTATATTACTTACTGTACATATGTGTATTCACATGTTCATAGCGTTTCATAGCAATGGCGTCCCCGCAGGTCTTTGATTTGGCCTGTGCATCGGATGTGCCCAGCAGCGACTCTGAAGAGCCTTTGGGGGCGCCCGAGGACTAGTGACAAGGTGACCCCTTTCCGGTGGAAGGTGCAAGGGAAAATATGGGAAAACACTGGGAAAATTACGTGTAAAGCTAAAAAAAACGGATCCACCATAAACATCCATAAACCCAATTCTATACCATTTGTTCCAGAAATGGGTGGGATGATGTGGAATGTCAAGCCTCAAAATGATGGTTTATTAACTTTGGCTATATTGTTTTAGCAACATGAACTGGGAGCTATGATAGAGATGTCAAGGATGATCCACGGAGCTGGGCAAGTGAATCTTGATAATGTCGACCCAGGAATAACAACTATCAATGTTGAGTAGGGCAAATATATATATATATAGATTTCAGTGGAATTGAGCAGAAATTTTCATAGTGGGCCCTAGGGTTGACATTAAACCCTGGAAAGGTTGAAGGGAAACCACAGCGGAACGGTTTGAAACCACGATTTAGCCATTCAACATGATTGCTACGTTTTGGTGTGCTGTGTTGTCGGACATTTCAGCTCTCCAACTCCTATGAAGACTCACACAGAAAAGTATGAATATATATATATAATATATATATATATATATATGCATCATTTTGGATGAGTTGAAACCACCAATCACCTTAGAGGGGATCACTGGATCACCTTGGGGCACCGTCGCTCACAAAGATTGAGCGCAGTGATGGGACCTAGGGACCATCGGAGTCACCAGCTGAGAATTCTGCAGCCAAAAAAGGCAGATTGTGCAGAGCGGCGCTTGGATCCTCTTGGTCCCTGATGTTGAAACAGCAGGCACTTTTGAAAGGATTATGATGACTCATCATCGGGATACATGTCCGCCAGTTGGCCCACAATTTGTTGGGTTTTGGTGCTGGCAAGGAAACCGTGGTTTCTGGGCACTGTCGTTGTCCTCTCTGCCACTGGACCGCGAGGGCAGCAGCGAAACCACACTGGAAGTGGACCAATGGAGTCTTTTTGAATGCTGTTTATCAAGTACCTACTTGTTCCACCGCAAACTGAGGGTCAAGTGTTGGCTGTAATACGACCCGCTATAATCAATCATGGCTAGCTGGAACATCAACCATTGATTAAAGGATTTCGCATTAAATCCTGGATTTCTCATTAAGACCACCATTTGTAGAGGATTTCACGACCAAAAAGCCACCAGTCACAGATAATTTTCCCCAAGATAACCACCATTTGTAGATGATTTTCCCACTGAATTGCCGCAATGCCCATGAACAAAAATGGACGTCCCAGCCATGGAGATGATGACATATACACGACATATGATGACACCCCCAAAAAAATCGTGAACTCCTAAGGTCTTTGAGCGACGTTGCGGGGCTACGGCTTTGGTTGTGGCAGATGGTCACAAGATGGCAAAAACATGGTGCTATGGTGATGTTTATATTTTAGGTTTAGCAGTTTAGCCAGATATGTTCAATACAAGGTGGGGCCTCTAGCCTGTTATGATGATGTGTTTATTTATGTTATGAACCCACTACAGTAACTGTAGTTATTCACAGTTCTTAAATCACTATGGAGCTTAGAGCTTGCCTAGTAAATAAACCAACTTTGCCAAGGACCTTGGCACAAGCTTGTACTTGTGGGTAATGATCATGCACATCACTGAAAACATCATACTGTAGAGCAGGATACGTATGCTTGAATTTCTAAAAAGTAATCGCAACCCTCTCCAGGAAAAAATGCGCTTTACAGTGTGCATTTTGGCGTGGCGTGTATCCAAAGTGGGTTCTGACAATTTTGATTTGCGGAGTCGGGAATTAAAACTTGGAGAATCATCCCACTTAGCAAGTGGAAAATAACAATAAAAATAACTTCAATCCATTTACAGATGGATAACCCACTTAACGGACTTACTAACCAGGAATATTGAATTATATTGCAACCGGGGTGTGTTGACCAGATCTTGACGACTTGATCCTTGATGGGTGATTTGGAGAGTATTTCAAGATGTTCAATCATCGTCCAAAGTACTAAAGACACATATAAGATCCAATATTAATATCTTTATATATCACTAATGTTGGCTATCGATTAGTGTCATGAAACACCACTGTGTTTTTTCAAAATATTTCAATATCCTGTGGATGGTGGGGGGTGCGCCTCTATTGTGGAAAGTTTTTTCTCAGATCCAATTTTGTTCAGGGGAAAAAATGGTCATAGAAAAAACATAATTGATTAATTAATTTCCTTTTTTTATTTGCACACCTGTTCCTTGCTCAGGCACTTGCCAAGTTTCAAAAAAAGCTGAGCTTTGCTCAGCACAACTGTACAACGCTAAAAGGCACTCACTTTGGCTGAGCTGAGTTGATTATCCTAAAAATTGTTGAGGGAGGGTCGTCTAAAATGGTCGATTATTCAATAGGCATAAATTGTCGACGGGGGGGGCATCACACTAATCAATAGCCAACATTATTATATAATATTATATATATATGCCTTAACGTTTTTGGCACAAATATGTGTATATATATATATATGTACATACACATGTCGATATTGGATGATCTTGGGACTTTCCCGGTCTAAGACATATGTCCACCAAGAAAGATTTGGTACCTGCGCTGTTTGCTTTGCCGGAGCTGAAATTTTGTAGAGATGCTGTTCTTCGGGCAAAACCCGAGATGGACCTGTGAACGGTTGCTACTCGTGGTCATTCTGCATGAAGGTTTCAATATGCAATTTAGTCAAAGCACTTCGAAATATCAGCCTACAGCCTTATCGTTATAGAGCTATATACATAAATAAAGGCACATTGTGTAGTGTTTTGTGCTTGTGATAGAGTGGTTCGCCATACTTCATGGCACTGGTCAGCTGACATGTTGACGCGTCCACGACGCGGGCCTGGACACGCAACGAGTCGCAGTGGAACTGGCGATCCGAAAAATGGCTATGGGTTTCTGTGGAGTATCAGCCCATTTAGTAAGTTTAATTCACTAGAATCGAGGTTTTGGTGGGGAAATCAGGGTTTTAAGCCATGGATTTGCTGAAAATGATGATAAGTGGTTAGTAACTGGGCTTAGTTTAGCCATTTATAGGCTTTGTTCCACTGGGGAGGTAAGATCACCAGGGTTTACTATGTTTCTGTATTAATCCCTTCCCCGGAATATTGATCAAATTGTCAATTTATGGATCATGGGGTGAAAAGTGTTCATTGACGGGTTGAAACGGGGCTTGATTTATTGGGTTTTGATGGGTTAACATTGGTTTACCTGGGTTGATACATGTTGATACGATGGATGCTTTTTGTGGCGCTATGGGACATGATGGGACATGTCGGACATGTAGTATATAATTCAATTCAATGGATCAGGCATATTTTCCGACAAACTGAAACATGATGAGTTCAAGTAATCCATTCCTCCAGATCGTAAATATCCGCGCTACTCCTGGTTTAGGTTTGGATAATCATCACTAGGGCTCCCATCATTGAGTATTTGGGGGTTCTGATTACACACAAAGTGTCATTTTACGCCCATGTGGATCATTGTGTTCCATGATTCACCTGTGATGTCGTGATTTCCAGTTTCGCAGGTGGTTAAACTTGGATGGTTTGGAGGATTTGGGGTCAGTAACTTTGACCATAGCCCCTTACTCGGGGCCCCGCCAAGGTGCAATGCCGGGTTTTCAAGGGCGACTCGGAGGATTTGCTGTGAATCACCCCGTGGAGGGTTGGGAAACTACACTTGCTACAGTAGCAATTTGCTGGCTCCCATGTGTGAAACGTCATGGAAGTGTAAGGGGTGAACTTTTGGAGGGGCTTGTCACCACATGGTTAACAAGAGCGCAGTTGATAGTACCAATCGCCGGTGTAGCCTCTATATCCATCTATCCAGGGTCTAGTAATTATGGTTCATTCTTTTCTTTTACTCTTGGGTTGTCCTATTTCATACTTTGAAAGGCTTCATTTGGAGCTGGGCGGTGGTGGAGTCCTTTTCGCTCAAAAGGGTTGTCTCTCAAATTTGGGGCACCCAAATCTGCTGTACCATCTGCTGTTTCCCGATGAAGTCACTACACACAAAGGTAAACACTGTTGGAGTCTTGGCAGATGGCGATGCGATAGATAGAGAGAGAATGTCGGAGAATCTTGGGCATTCTTGGGCCCCCTTTTACGAAACCTCCAGATTGGTTGAAAGGCGACCAAGAATGGCTTCGGAAAGGCAATGATGACCCCCAAGGACCAAGTGACTCACTCAGTACGACCAGTTTGCGGATGCTGAGGACATCGTTACTGGTGCACTTGCGGAGATCTGTAGCGGACACCTTTGGCCGCTGGGATCTCCCCTTAAGAAATCCTGGTTGATTGGTTATATAAGGGTTAATTAAGGATGGTTGATAGGGAGCCCCCAAGTTGCAGCCAGGCGGTTGCTTTGATCTGGGTTTGACATTTGACATGTAATCCAGCTTCAATAAGGTCGCAGCGATGTGGAAAAGTCTCCTGACGCAAATGGAGAAGCAGCGAAAAACACAAACAAGGAAAAGGATCTAGCGCCTTTAGTAACGAATCCATATGATCAACCAAAAAAATGGGACAATGTTGCCCAGCCAACCTGCGGACCAATCATCTATACACACCCCTTAATCTAAGCTGAAACCCTTACACACTTTTGGTTTGTAAAAAAATAAAGTCATGTTTCTTTTGGATTTTTTGGACATGAGCATTTGTTAAGGTTTCAGGATTCGGCAGTTTATACCTCAAATCTCAGACATCACACGGCTTAGACACTATTTGGCAGTTCAGGTGCCAAGTGAAGCGGAAACATCCAGAAAACCTTGAGACTCTGCATCCGAGGCACGAACTTTGAGGAGGTTGGACTGGTCTTCGGCTCCAACTTATTAGCTCCGGACCTGGACTTTCAATCCCTCAGCCGGGGGCCCCGGCATGCGGCCCCATGGGAACATCGAGGCCCGGTGGTCCAGTTAAAACGTTGGGATGTATGTCTTATTTTGCCGTAGAAGAATGCATACCCTATGGAGATCCCTATAAGGCTCCAAACACCCTCTGACACAGTATTTTGGGGTGTTTTTTGGGGCTCAAACACCTCAGAGGGTATTTGGATAACTGAAAGAACAAACGTGGCTGATTGGGATGCGGTTTTTTCCCGACAATGCTCAGGTGTATATGGGGAACATGACATGAAATGAAGCCACAGAATTGGATGGCTAGGGATCATGCCATGTTTTCATGCAACCATGATATAACATGATATAACATGAGATAACATATGATTTAACATGATATAACATCATTAACTGTAGATTCAAAAAATGTGATATGTGAACATATATTTCCGTAGCATAAAGCCTGAGCCGAGTTGGGGAGTTGTAAATCAATTTTGCCAACTGGGGCACCAGCTTGTCGGAATTATTGGATTCTCGGGCTCCAGCAAAGGCACGCCTACCATGGGCGTACGCCTTTTGGATTCCTAGCCATTGCTAGCCATTTCTTCCATAAATAGTCCATAAGAACCTTAAAAGAAACTTTAAATGATGTTGAACATGTTGACAGCTGTTGAAGCCTGTTGAAAGCTGGAGGCGGGGCTTCAATCTACTGTAGTAAAAGTATATGTACATGTAGTATTGTTTCGACATGTTTCGACACTAGATGTGTTCAGGTTCCCATTTTTTGGCTGGCACATTCTGAAATCGGGACGGTAAATACGCCTTTGTACCACGCAGTGTGCCTTTCTTTAATCTCCGATAAGGCGTATTTCATTATTTTCACCTTTACCAATACCACGAGATAGATATAATGAATCATGAACCCACGGATTGTTGTTTCCATCCCAGAATTGGATGAAGGCAAGTTTTCTCCTGTGCATTTTCCAACCTACCCAGTGATTTCGGAAGATCCCAAGCCGATTTCGAGGCGAGTTGGGCATAAGCGACGGCTGTACTGTGGCCTTTGTGTTGTCGCAGGCGCCCGGTGGTGCCCAGTAAGGTGCGGTGGTGCCATGTCAGGATCCACCGGGATCCACCGCTGTCAGGTTGAGCCAACCCCCCGGAAAGAGCGGATGGCGGGGCACTCCGAGGGTGATGCCTTTGCATTCTTCCGCCGCAACCGCAACGTGACGTGGACAAGAGAAGGATGGGGAAGGCAGCTGCCACAGTGAATGGAAAAAATATATAAAAATGTTGGGGATAGATCCCTTTGAGCTGGAACTTTGCGAACTTTCCGCGTGGGGAGGTGGGATATCTAGATGTTTTCAGTCCTATACATCCACCTGAAACTTGACAGAATTAAAGGGTACAACTGGTACAACCACACTGAAAATCGCTATGCTACACATGCTAAAGAGCTTGGTAGTATGGGCGACTGTAGGCACACACTGATCATGCTTCATTCCCAAGGCTCAAAGTCAAATACAATTACCCTCTGGTTATTTAACATAGCCATGGAACATGGCCCATAGAAATAGATGATTTTCCCAGCTAGAAACCCCCATTTATATGCGATTTTCCATGGCTATGTTAGTCATAACCAGATGGTATTTCCTCCCCAGGTCCACTTTTGATTTGATTCGTTTTACTGCCAATTGACTGCTGGGCAACCAGCAATGGGCACTATTCATGCATTTGCGATTAAATATGCCAATGTGACACTGTGTATTTATGTTCTTGTGTAATGAATATGTGTGACATCCTTGTGTCTACGTGTATACCTTATAAAGTTGCACGCCCATGAATCATCTCTGGGATATACTTTCCAATATACCAACCGATGAGGGAGGCGTCTAAACTTTAGCCATGTCCCCAGGTGTACAAAGCTTTGGACTGCAAGCACTTGAGCCAGTCTCCTGGCAGCAACGGTGCTATCGCATTTTGAAAACCCCTAGAAGATGACCTTCCACTTAAGTGTCGCTTGGAAGAGAACCACGTGTGTTGGTTGTGAGTCATGAATTCCCGATCAATAAATTTGTATGCTATACTGTATAATTATTGCTCTATATTATGCTTTAATATACTGTAGATATTTTTCACGCCCACCATGAATGTGGATCATTTTCTGAGCGGTGGTTTACCAAGAGATAATGATGGATAATGGATTTCCATATCTACACACTCATTTCACAGAGGTGAGTCCATGAGTCCATGTTCTTTCTTGCTGACCTACGTTCCCAAGCTGGTTTTATGCATGCGCAAGGCTGCCTGTTATCAGGTTTGTATCCGATCCATCTGTTGATGATGACTGTTTTTCAGCATTTTTTCTAGACTTGGACACCCAACCAGCGTTGGCTTGTAAAACCCATAGTTTTCCGAAGATATTTACAGGCTTTATTTGCAGCGATCCTGTATGATCCTGTGAATTCTGATTCT